AAAAATCGTCGAAAAATTCTCAGATCTCGGAATTAAAAAGTTTCTATAGAAACTTATCTTAAAATCGACAAAATGTTGAAACGTTGCCAAATTTAGAACCATTTAATAAAAGAATTCATATCCCCAAAAGTGAAAAGTTGTTTAAGAGCTCTTTATTAGAAAAAATGAATTTCGAAATTCTTATGTTTCCCGTCTTGCTTAGAAAGAATATCCCATGATTTATATTAGAAACAAATTAAAACTCATGAAGCCATTCAAAAGATAACTATATATACGGCAGTGAATCTCCAAATGTATTCATCCAAAATGCTAATTCACACTCAAAATGGCAGTTGTAAAAACAGACAGAAATTTCAGATGATTAAAATTAAGGACTTTCTGCTGGTTTTGGCCAAAATTAAGGACTTTTAAGGACTCTTAAGGATCGTACAAACCCTGTATATTAATTTTTCAGATTAATATTGACTTTTCAGATTTTAAATAAATTGCTTCTTACATTTACCCAAGGTAGCTTAATTTCAAATTCAACAATTCAATAATTTATCTATTTTTCAATATTTAATAAACTATTTTTTTTTTTTTTTTTTTGCTGAGTATCATGTTCTCAAACTGGCGCTAACAGCCTAATAATGCACTACTGCAGCTGAACATACTGAGACTTTTGCAGATACCACAGTCAGATGATAAAAGTCTACTTCCGATAGAAAATACTACATACCATATATACCCACGCATAAGTTAGTCCCCTGACTTTTGAGAAAAACTTTTGCGAAAACAAATTTGTCACATGAGTGGAGTCGCAGCCAATAAAACAGCATGCCAATGTATTTGATAAAATTACACCCACACTTTAGTGAATTTTTGTTTATTTCCATTTCAACACATGATGAAATTTTAAAATAGTTTATTCCTCACAAAAAATTCCTCCAGTCATGAATCATCTTCATTCATGGCAAACTTACATGATAAATAAAGTTGTTTATACTTTCAGCTATAATTTCACAGTGTAAGACATTCTCTTTTGTTTACCATTGCCAGGAGTGTGTGTGCAATAAAGTTGTTTATACTTTCAGCTACAATTTCACAGTGTATTTCCATTTCAACACATGATGAAATTTTAAAATAGTTTATTCCTCTCAAAAAATTCCTCCAGTCATGAATCATCTTCATTTATGGTAAACTTACATGATGCAATAAAGTTGTTTATACTTTCAGCTATAATTTCACAGTGTAAGACATTCTCTTTTGTTTACCATTGCTAAATATATGACAGCGAAAAATAAAATTTTTTTATATATAATCACAACACATGATGAAATTTTATATATAATCACAACACATGAGTGTGTGTGGCTCTGAAAGGAGTCCTTTTTTGTAGATTCCACTAAATCAGACATTACAAAAAGCAGGAAAAGTAAAAAAGCATGTGTATGATCAAGATAGACAAGCAGACATTTGGTATGGTTACAGTTGCTGATTTAATATGGTTATAATAATCAAAGATGACTCACAGATACTGTACAGACCGAATTGCTCTGTGACACCAGATAATGAAATGAAATGGGGGGGGGGAGTTTTCTAATGAACAGAAAATAAAATCGACACACATTTAGTAAAAAACCTAATAATAACATGGAAAGAATAAATAAAAATTTTGCATTTTTCTGTATGAACGATATATTTAATAATCAAGTTCGCCGACGTGTCATCGACTAACAATGCGGGACCTTTTTTTTAAGGTTCTGCATATAAGTTGACCCCTTATTTTGAAGTTTGATTTTTATCTTAAAAAAATTGTTGACTTATACGCAGGTATATATCGTATTCAATATTCATATCAATGACAACAAACATGACTTTTGCATGAGTTACTTCAGAGCAAAATAAGAACAACATATGAACAACATTGACTCATTTTAAGCAGCGACATGGAATTCAAGAAATTGGACTTTATGGGGAGAAACTTAGTGGAGACCATCAAGCAGCCGGCGATTTCCACCATGAATCTGAAGAATTTGTTTTAAAAAGAAGTGCTATCCTTTTGAACAAATTTACAATGCCGACGAATTGGGACTTTTGTGGAAATGTCTTCCAACTCGCACTTTAGCATTTGAAAGTGAAAGTACAGCGGCAGGTCATAAAAGCAGCAAGGAAAAGATCATGATCATGTTTTGCAGTAATGTTATCGGTGGACATAAACTTAGACTTGTTGTCATTGGAAAGTAAAAAAAAAAAAAAAAAAAAAGAGAGAGATTTTTCAAAGGCACAAGGATAGAAAATTTGGCCCTTGATTACTTTAACCAAAACACACACACACACACACACAAAAAAAAGGATGGCTGAACCGAAACATTTTTCAAGAATGGTTCAAAAAAATCTTTATTCTTCAAGTGCGTAAACATCTTAAATCGAAAATCCTGCCTAAAAAAGCTGTGCTATTGATCGACAATGCACCTTCTCACCCAGCAACAAGCACGCTAAAGTCTTCTGATGGACAAATTTTCGCAAAGTTTCTCCCCCCAAACGTTACTGCGCTAATCCAACCCATGGACCAAGGCCAATCCTTTGCAACAATGAAGAGAACATACCGAACCAAGCTGCTAATGACCAAAATTGAAGAAGGTATGATCTGAAAGAGTTTTGGAAACACTACACAATCTTGGACAGCATCTATGATATTGCATCTGCATGGGCCTCAATAAAACCGTCAACCCTCATAAAATCATGGAGAAAACTCACGGCTAATGTCAACATCAACCTAACCACTTTGAGTTGTGAAGAACAGAATGAAGATGTAGACACGCCCACGCGCAACTCTTGCCGATATGGTGGAAACAGTTTCGAGTGGTGAGAACGTCGATGCTGAAAACATTAACAAGTGGTTGGAGTGAAGTCAACGAACCTGGCTTCGAACGCTTGACAGATGACGAAATTGTGAAGAAACCAAGGGGAGAGACCGAGAATGAAGGAGAGCAAAGTGAAGACAAAGAAGAGCCCACTGTGCAGATGCAGAAGACTCACGAAGCGGCTTTGCAACAAGTCGACGGACTGCTGAGCTATTTGGAAGGACAAGACGACGTGGAGTTGGCCGAGAAACTTATGCTACAAAAAATGCAATCTCGGATCTAGAGAAAATGCTTCCAAAGCAAGAAGCAAACACAAATGACTGATTTCTTCAAAAAGGTGTAGTTTTACAGTTATGCTTTTTTAATTACATAATACATTACAGTCTTAAAACAGTACATATGTATTCATTTTTCTGTGTAAATGACGATTCTTGACGCCTCTCGTAACTACAAAGCACTTTTCAATTTTCATTAACGAAATGCATTTTAAGTTAGTTTTGAGTGACATATTAAAATATTAAGCATTAATTAAACAATTTCTGCTGTTTATTTTGCGTTTTATTGTACATAAAATGATTTTTCAAAGTTGGAATGACTGTTTTCTCTTTTGCTATACCCGTTTTTAGCTTTTTTCGGATTATTCGCGATTTTTGTTATCTGCAAGCGGCCGCGCCACCCGATTCCGCGGATAATCAGGAGTGTACTGTATGTTAAAATAGTTAATGTTAAGAAATTTAAATTTGTATATAACTGTTACTTCTAACATAGAACTGATTACAAAATTAAAGACTGAATAGTAATTTTTTATTTACTTTTGATCCATTTCAAAGATACAGGGGCCTAAAAAAATTGTTTATAACTTATAGCTAGTATCTAGTCAATTTGGAAATGGTTTGGCATATTGAAAAGGGATGTTCAAAGCATAATACTCCATTTTTTATTTTTATAGTGGTAAGGTAGCACTTCTGATTTTATATAATGATTAGTACATTTCTGATGATGCATAATACTTACTGCATTTTTTAACTCAAAGCATATTTATTACAATTATGAGAAGCACTTTACATACATAATTCATGGATAGCATGGAACAGTTATTGTAATGAAGTATAGCTCTCATGATGCAAGGAACCTGCTAATGAGGGTCTCTCTAGTCAAGAGTTCAACAGCATTCTGGCGGGTTGTTCTGATGGGAACAAGCTGCAGACTCAATTGGCTACGTCTCCTTAATTTTTCAGTAGTATTTTACATCATCTGATTCATTATATATGGACCAATATCAGAGAAAAAACAAGATCATTGGTTTGTCAGCCTTCCTGGGATTAAGAGGCTTTGATGACAGATACAGTGCAGAACGCTAAAATCTCTTGATGCTGGTCGTGAAGTAATGTCTCTTGCACTGTCAAACTGGAACAAATTATTGCATCTGCCATGTCAGACCATGTCCTCTGGCACAGCATGGAAACAGTGAGTTGCAGGGACAGCACACACAATTTTCTCCTCTCTGTGTGGTCTGCTGCAAGTTTATAATCTTATGCAATAATTTGCATCATAGAGTAAGTTCTGAGTTAGTTATACTAATCTCTCTTTAGATAATTTGGTATAAATAACAAACGGATGCAGTACTATTTTGTACTGCTGTTACAGTCACACTTATTATATTAATAGTTTAAAGGACAAAATTTCTCATAATAGATTTTGACCTAAGTTAGTATATAAATATCTAACAGAAACGTAGACAGCTTTGATCAGGAAATGGGAGGGGGGGAAAAAGAGGAAATAAGTTAGTAATTTAATTAAAAAGTTATTAAAAAAACTTCAAAATTTCCTTTTACATATATAAAAATAAGATACGAAAATCCTGCAAATATTATCAAAGCAGTTTGCTTTTATGTTTTACAACACCAATTGCCGAGTGGCAAAGTCACAAAGCACTAGTAGTTCAATCATGGTTCAAATCTCAATGAACAGGCTGGCTGCATGGGCATTTTTGTGATTTTTCCCATGTGTAACGTGAACATGATCCAGTTTTCCTCAGATAGTGTCCTCCATGAAGGCATTCCTCCTCTTAGGCAGATAGCCCTCATGAGTTTTACCATAATTGATAAGAACAAAACAAGTCAAATTTATATTTTAAAATCATTCATATCTCACCTCATTTTCTTCATGTGTAAAAATATCCATATCACCATTATTACTCAAATAAACCATCAGCTCCATAAGTGCTTTAAAAGAATCTGCACAGGTCCAAATATGAACCTTATCATTAGTAGCACACATTTCTAATTTAGGATCATTCTAAAAATATAAAAGTACATATTTTTCAGTTCACATATTATATAATGCAATACGCACAACTGGAAATTTCTTCATAAAAACATAAAATACCTGCAATGTTATATGATAATTAAATAAAATTTCAAAATCATTACCTTTTCATCTACATTTGTTCTGAAGGAGATGTCAATCAAACCGGTATCAATTACACATACATAATCTGAAAATAACAGAAAATAAGAAAATAATAATAATAATAATAATAATAAACCGCCCTACATATATACGCCAAATGAACTTAAACTGAAAGAAGACAAAGCCTTGCAACAGGAATTGTTTCAATTAAAAATAAAGTACAGTAATATAATAATGTATAGATAAATAAATAATAGAAGGCTAAATAACACAGTTGCTACTCAAACAGGAGAATGAAATTCCCTGACTTTTCCAGGTGTGTTTTAAGAAAATTCCAGTCTATTCGTGTAATGGCACATTGGCTGTGCTAAAAGGTAAATTAATTATGGTACCACTTGAAAACACAAAAATTTGCCAATTACATATAATTTATATATATATAATACCCAAAAGCATTACTATTATAACTGTTTTCTCCACTGAAGATTGAGATTAAAAATCTGCCCAGTCTGGATTACAAAATGCGTTTTTGCAGACAAATGAAGGAAAACTATTTAATGATATTTTAAAATAAATTCAGGAATTTTATAGTTATTTAGCAGCATACATAAGCAAAAAATATGTGCATTAAATTTCGTGATGGTATATCATCATACTGTTAGAATAGTTTTCAGGATTATGCCAGAGAAAAATTTCCTGAAATTTGAAAGTATGATTTACTAATAATAAGTAAATTTAGACGGAAGAAGCAACATTAAATGATACGAATAACATCAAAATAAAGATAATTACTTAAAAATTGTATTAGTATAATCAATGATACGTTGGTGAATATAGTTGTGTGTGTGATTATGGCAAAGCCTCGAGGGCTGTTTGCCTAAGAGAAGGAATGCCTTCGTGGAGGACTTTCTAAGGGAAACTGGCTGGTATAAATGTTACACATAAGAAAAACCACGAAAATCCCATGCAGCCAGCCCATTCGCAGGATTCGAACCTTGAACCGAACTACCAGTGTTCAGCAACTTTACCGCTCAGCCGAGCCCCGAAAATTTAAAGTAAAAACAGTTAATATCAGCCACTTTTTAATTCTGAAAGAAATGATTCAGGGGGTGGGATTAAATGTATTAAATGGTTAGCTTAAGTGACTGATACTATTTTTTATTTTACTGAAAAATGACAAATAAGGTATTTATTTAAAAAAAAAGATTTAAAAGATTTTGTGGCAAAATCCTAGTATATGCTCTAGCATCTGCTCATCACAATGTTGCCAAATCCCATGTATACCGTACATGGAGACTATTCTAACCTCTATGGTACCGTATACTGGGATTAAATCGATTTTGTTTTATACAAGAATACGTACTTTCTTTAGTTCAACAAGCACGGCACATGTGCATGCAAGTCTCTCAATTCTTGAGATTACTGGAAGCCAAAAATTGCTGGAAACTTGTTTTGCCTTTCTAAAAGACAATCTAATTGGAGGTGCAAAAATTGGCTCTATGCCAGCTAGCCGAATAACATTCATGCGACACATAATTCGCAAAGAAAGTGATTGCTTCCAATGTCAGCCCAAAACTTGCCTTGTTGGGGGGGGGATTTGGGTCAGGGATGAAATTCCCTGACTTTTCCAGATTTTGACTAAAATTATTAAATTCCTTGACTTTTCCCTGAATTTTTTTGTCAATTTTTGAATTTTCTGACCTTTTTCCGGTAGCGTGGCAACTCTGAAATAATTTCTCTTTATTCACAAAAATGAGATAAACAGAAATATTTGCTTAGGCATGAATATTGAAAAAACTTAGAGAAAGTTCTGTTGTCTTAAGCACAATGCAGTTCATCTTTCCCTATCATTTAATTGAATTATTCCTGAAAGTCTTTTGGTGCTTTCTGATTATCCACAACTCCACAAAAAATTGCCAATAACCTGGCAATTTCGGGAATTGAGAAAAAAATTTGCTTTTCTTTAAAAATATATATATATTTATGACAGATATTTACATTTTTTCAGTCGATGGATACAATTCGGCAAAATGACCATCAAATATAAAGCATTAAATCTACATATATTCAAGTATGTATATGATATGTGCATGCATGGGTTAACTACGAAGGCTGTCTGAAAAGTTTCTGAAATCAATATGCAGATGGCAACTCTGCATATGTTCTATCCCTTCCCACTTTGCGAAGTGGAAGGGACATCTCTGGGTATCACTTGATAACTACCAATCAAAATTTCAGCTATTTTGAATGTGAATTTTTTTGTTTGACAATTACTTTTGTGAGTTGCTGTGATTGTTTTTGCAAAAATGGGGGGGGGGGAATCGAGTATACATTAGATACTTGTTTTTGAAAGGATTAAGATCAGTTGGACACAGTGTATGGGGAATCTGCACCATTTAGTACTGTGAAATTTTGGATAGCTGAATTTAAATGTCTTGGATGACGACGAACGTTCAGGATGGCCATAAAACTGCAACCACTGAAGAAAAATATCACTAAAATCTACCAAATGGTGCTGCCGATCATTGAATCAAGAGAGATGGCAGATTAGAATGTCTAAAGAATATGTTTGCCACATATTGAACTAAGATTTAGATAGACGCAAGCTGGCTGCCGCGTTTGCTGACTTTGGACCAAAAACGTGTCCCAATAAACATTTGCATCGTTCTGTTGGTGCAAGAAATCAAGAGTTTTTTCCACTATGAATCACTGTAGATGAAACCTGGATTCATCATTAGAGTCCAGAAACAAAAACACAGTCAAAACAGTAGACTGCAAAGGGAGAAACGACTCAAAAATAACAAAAATTGTTCCTTCTGCCGGGAAAGTGATGGCAACAGTTTTCTGGGACAGCCATGGGATTGTCTCAATAGATTATCTTGAAAAAAGTGAACCATTACTAGAGCATACTATGCAACGATACTCGACAAGCTGAAGGCAGAAATTAGGGTAAAGGGCCACATTTGCAAAAGAAAAAAATTTTGTTTCACCAAAACAGTGCTCCATCCCACACCTCAGCAGTTGCAATAGAGAAAATCCATGAATCACGATTTGAACTGCTTGACCATATGCTGTATTCATCCTACCCGGTACCAAGTGACTTTATTTTGTTCCCTAAGCTAAAAGAAGCACTTGGAGAACAAAGGTTTTCATCAAATGAGGAGACATTACAGAGATAGATTCCACATATTATTTGGGCAGTTTAAAAGGATGGGAGCATCGCTGGAAGAAATGTACAGACTTTGTGAACGGAAGAAATGTATAGACAAAGGAGACTATGTTGAAAAATAAAGGGAATTTTGGAGAAAAAATATCTTTTTCCTTTGTTAGGTCAAAAAACTTTTCAGACAGCCTACGTATTGCTGTGTATCGACTGAAAAATAAACCAAAACATGGCAATTCTGCAAAATGTTGAAACCGAGATTTCAGATAACCAAGACTTACTACTCTTTCTATTGCTTGCATATCAGCAAATATTTTGCTTTGATTTTACTATTACTACCCCAGAACATTCTGGAAGGTTCTTCTGTGTTTGCACCTAAATATATAGTTATGTTCATCTCATTTTCTCACATATAACTGAAGAATGTACTATTTAATGTACACCAGTTCCTGCTGTCAACTTTTATTCCCTCTAGAGAGGGCAGACTAAATAACATAAAATAAGAGGAGTGCAAGTTTGACGCTATTTTTAAAATAATGATGTACAATAATGATTAAATGAAAAAATCAAATAGCATTAAAACACTTACTCTTTCGCAGTTCAACTTTCTTAGCTGCTACATAATTCGAAATGAACAACCTCATTTCCTCAGATATAATTCTGAAAAGTATGTAACATTACTGAGACAAAACTGAATTATTAGGACATACAGATTTCATAAGTCATAAGGATATGTTATAAAGTAATGCAGAATTTGCTATTTAAAATAAATTAAAAATTACCTAAATAAAAATGAAGGCGTAGTGGCAGTGACATTGCAAGACATATTGAAATTATCAACTGTTACAGCAGTTCGAAGTGGAAGTTTCAAAGGCCTAAAAATGCAAAAGAGAAACATCTTAAAATATCTCTCATTATATGATTCGATAACACAAAAGTAGGTGAACTTATGTTTTAATTGCATGAATTTACCCATGTTGCGGACCCCCTCTTTCCTCCTCCCCAAATATGTTTATATAATTTCAAGGGGGGGGGAGAATTAAAATAATAAATTTTATTAGTAATTAATTTTATAAATAGTATAACCAAACTGCTATTGACTTATTTACTGAATATGATAATTATATTTTTCTTTTTCCCACATGTAGAGATACTTATTTTAAAATTATCACCATTTAATTTTAGGCTAAACTGTTTAAAATAAACCAAGAAAATAGAAAATACTTTGGACTGAATTTTTGAAAGCAAGCAGCATCCCTTGTTAAAAAGACAGAGTGTAATGTTAAGAAGTTTGGCACATCACACTGACTTTAATTTTGCTTACTGTAAGCCATTTCTTCCATACAAATTTGTTCTATTTTGATAAGAATAGGTTGCTTCATTTTTATGACCTCTGTTAGGGTCTAAATGTAGAAAGCTTACAACTTACTGTCACCAATAAAAGCTTTTGCTAAAGATAATTAATTAACTTTATGCATTTTAACCTAATAAATTTAGAAGATGTATAGTTGACTACCTAAAACATCAAATCGTTGCAAAATAATTTTAAAGTGAGCCTATCTTTAGAATTTCCGATACACAGTTTCGCGCTGGAGAGATAAAAAGGTCCAACCCCCCATAGAATGTTGCTCACTTTCAAATCGTTGAGTTTGTAACTCAAAAATTCATTAAAGTTTACCTAAATATGAAATTCCAAATTTGGGCTTCCACATGCCCATATTCGCAGTAGGATTACGTCATTCAAAATTTGATGGCTCTATGTACAGTTAGTTGTTTTATAACAATGCGAGAAATATACATACATTTATGCAGATTTTTCATTATTTAATTTCTTTAAATATAATGCTGGACTCTAACATTTGGTAGCAACAGTTTGAAAATTGAAACGGACGTTTATAGTGATACAATGCAAAATTGCAAAACGAAAACAATAGTCCTTCAGGGACAAAACCTTTGAACTAAAAAGAAAAAGCAAATTTTCCATAAAAAGATGCATTTTGCGCATTTAGCAGAGAAAACTGTGCTTAAAATTTTGTTAGTGTTGACATCCATTCTTCACTTAATACATCTTAGCTATCATTTATTAGAGTTGATTTTAACTACACACCACTGCCTGCTGCTGGTTAAAATTAAAAGATAATCTGAAAAAATATGTTAACTGGACTTTTGTACATAGGTTAGTGAATAAAATATATAAATTAGGTGACTGACAATGCATGTTCGAGTTTGGGGATGCATGCAATGTCATGGACAGTGCTCTCTCTCTCCCCAGCTGTTCAGCCACTGTTCCACAGTTCAGCCAGCTGTTCAGTTCACCTACCCCATTAAAATGAACAGCTGGCTGAACTCATGGTTTGAGAAAAGAAATAATGTTCCCAAAAAGCATTTATTGAAAGTATAAACATTTTTATTTTCGAATGATTCCACATACATTTAATGACAGAATTTTAGTTATTATTAAAACACAAACGATAAATTAGAAGCAAAACTATGAAAGAAATAATATAATTAAATGTCATTCAGAGAATGAAGGAACGGATTTGAATATTTAGTTTTGGAAATCAGGTGTATTAGCATTGCTGCAATCAAAATTTTACTTAAAGCTTAAAAAATAAATAAAAAAAAATAATAATTAAATATCAGCAATTTCTCACTAAGTGCACCAAGATAGCAAAATGAAAAGCAATTGTTCAACACACCCCTATAAAAATGGATTAGGGTCTGTTTCTACGGGAAAAGATACCTACTAGGAAACAGAAGATATCAGTCGAACGAATAGGTCAGCTTATTCAACAGACTTAACACTTACTCCCCAGATTCCAGTTGAACATGCAGGCTGCTGAATCACAGCATGCCAGTACCTCCCTAGACCTTCCAAAAGCTGAAAGTGCACTTTCAGAATAGTGGCATAAAGTTCTACAAGATTTCTTCAAAAGTATGGTAAACTGTACGAAATCGAGATACTTAATAAGTTTCTTGAGGTGAGTATAAATCACATTAAAGAGATTTAATGGAAAAAAGGAAAGAACATTTTCTCATCATTTTAAAACTTCTATAAATTTGACTTTAAATTCAGTATTTTAAAGATTAATAAAATGGCAAACAAGGTAATTTACATTAAATAATGCTTCTGAACAAATCGTTTTGATAATTTTTAAATATACTATTTATATCTACCAATATCTTTTAATTTTGACGTGTAGAAGCTAACACTAGATATATCCTTGAAAGGATTTAAGTTAATAAATCTACAAATGGCTGTACCAATAAAAAGCCCATGAAACTGTAACTAACTTAAGTTTAAATAGGCATAGTTTCATGACCATTTACAACATACTTCTTAACTTCTTAAGAGCATAATAAAACAGTTTAATGCATAATAAGTGACAAACTTCTTACTAAAACTTTTACCTGTTATTAATTTGCCTGCAAATATCAAAATCAAACTTCTTATTAAAACTTTTACCTGTAATCAATGGCACAATTGCTTAGATTTATATGAAGTTCAGTTACAATAGCAGGTGGAACATATCCATTGATGGGATAATCATTGATTTTCAAGAAATCAATAAATTGGTTAATCCACAACTGTTGAACAGGATAAGTATGGTGACGAAGTGTCGCAGATGAAATGTCCATGGCAACTTTGAACGTCTAAAAAAAAAAGTAAAACAATGAAAATTTCAAGAATTATTTAAACAATTAACCAGTTATATATTTTTGGTATTTTGTGCTTTGCAAAATGTTTAAATAATATTTAAATTGAAACAATAAATATTATTATGTGCCAGTCCTTAGAGAACATGAATACATGAAATATTCCACATGATAAAATTTATATTTATAATTAAGAAAGAAAAATATAACATTAAAACTTTGGCACAAAAGAGCAGATTATATTGCACAAAAACTGGCAAATAAAGGGTAAAAGATATCTTCAATGAATAATAATTTACATAATAAAAGTTTTACCTAATAATACTTTATCACATATTATATGGCTAAGTAATACATATTTAGTTCATACTCATGAGTGGAAATATCTATTCAAAGTGTTAAAATACGAGGCTATACGTATACCTCAAATGTTACGGAAATTTTAATAGTATACAATATATATATGTGCAGATGATGCACAAGTAGATGTACATGAAAAGTTAAGGATACTTAAAAACATTTTATTAGAAATTTTATTTCTTATTCTTACTGACAAGTTTTTACATTGATGCATTATGCAGTGTACTGGCCCACTCAACTTTCAGTAGTTAAAAGAGATTGTATCAATGGTAAAGCACATACAATTTTCTTTTCTCTTAGAATTCAACAATTTTTAATATAGTATAAAATTTAAGGTAATATATATACGAGGGTTGGAACTTTAATAGTGGCAACTATTTATTTACAAGGAATACAAAAGTGATTCATGTCACCATGTTTTATATTCCTTCAATATAGTCGCCAGCATTGTGTACAACCCGTTTCCAACGATGTGGAAGTCGCAGAATACCTGTAGCAGCACCTGTTTTGTTGATAGTTTGAATGGACGGGTTTACTGCCACAAGAATCTCAGGAACAGTTTGGAAGCGAGTGCCACGAAGTGGTTCCTTCATCTTAGGAATTAAGTCATAGTCACAAGGGCTTAGATTTGGGGAGTATGGTGGATGGTAAAGCACTTCCCAGCCCCATCGCTTGAAGAAATCAGTCACAGCTTGCGCTGCATGCGGCCGAGCATTATCATGCAAAATGAGAGGAGCGTTCTGCAGAAAGTGTCGCCGTTTTTTTCTCAAAGCTGGTCAGAGATTGTGCTCCAAAAATGAGCAGTAATACTGCGCAGTGACGGTCCGCTGTGGGGGAACGGTATGCGTTAGGATGACACCATCACAGTCGTACACGAGAATCACCATAACTTTCACACTGCTGGGGTTCTGACGAAATTTCGAACGTTGTGGTGACCCGTGATGACGCCATTCGTTTGATTCGCGTTTCAGTTCTGGCTGGTACAATCGGGCCCAAGTCTCATCCAGAGTAATGATACATCATAAAAAAGCATCTCCTTCACGCTCATAGCGCTCCAGGTGGGTTCGGGCAGCATCGTATCGTAGCCATTTCTGCATTTCCGTCAATTGATGTGGAACCCATCGTGAAGCAATTTTTCTCACGGGCAGGCGTTCCTTCAGAATGTGCAGCACAGTCGTATGCACTAATCCTGTTTGTCCGGCCAGCTGACGAATCGTTTAGGGGCGATTACTGTCCATTAGTGCGGCAACAGCTTGCACGTCTGCATTGCTGACACTTGGACGACCTGGTCGCAGCATGTCTGCCACGTTTTGGTGTCCTTCATTGAATGTTTTCACCCATCTTGCTACGGTTCTGTAAGGCAATGCAGATTCCCCGCAAGCCTCTTGAAGCCCTTGATGACACTGTCGTGCTGTACGACCTCTGGCACATTCAAATTTTATCCAACATCGTTGTTCTTGTTTTGAAAACATCCTGACAACACTTACTTTAGACCGCGAGCTAATACAAGGATCCGTTCTTCGCGTCACTCCGCATGCGCGTGACGTAGGTAGGACGAGTCTTTTTGCTGAGAGGTAAGGTAGGTATGTACGAGGCGTATTCGGAAACTAAGTACTGTTTTGAAAAAAAAATAGTAAAACAATTTTTTCGAATCCAATTTTATTTTTACATGAAAATACATGTCTTAAACTCTTTTTCAACATAGTTTCCGCCAATGATCAAACACTTGTCATAGCGGGTGACCAGTTTTTGTATACCATCGTCAAAGAAACTTCCCGCCAGTTTCGATAACCACGACTCCACAGCATTTTTTGTGTCATCGTCAGATCCAAAGCGCTTGCCACCAAGCTCGCGCTTCATGTACAGGAACAAGTGATAGTCGGACGGCGCCTAGTCCGGGCTGTAAGGCAGGTGATCGAACTGCTCCCAATGAAACTGTCGAATTTACGACCAGCGAATTTACGAGTGACACCAGCAGTATGGGGCCGAGCATTGTCATGGGGCAACACAATTCCTTTACTGAGTATTCCTCTTTGTTTGTTTTGAATGGCACGCCTTAGTTTTGTTAGTTGTTTTTTAGTTGTTTTGTTACAGTCTCACAATATCGTGCCGCATTAATGGTTTCACCTCTGGGAAGAAATTCAGTATGCAAAACGCCATTCCTATCTCAGAAGACAGTGCACATGATTTTTTGTGATGACATTGTCATTTTGATTTTTTGTTTTTTCGGAGAATGAGTGTGTCTCCACTCCATCGATTGTTGTTTCGATTCTGGTGTGAAATGACACACCCAAGTTTCATCACCTGTCACAATTTGGTTTAAAAAGTTTTCTCCCTCATCACTGTACCGCGTGAGAAATGTCAGGGCACTACCAAGTCGCTTTGTTTTGTGAACATCAGTGAGCATTTTTGGAACCCATCGGGAACACAGTTTGCGATAATTCAAGCGGTCAGACACAATTTCGTACAAAACAGTACGTGAAATTTGTGGAAATGTCTCTGAAACAGTTGTCACTGTGAAACGTCTGTTCTCATGAATTGCTTCAATAACTTTCCTTACCAAATCATCGGTGACAACAGAAGGCCGACCACTCCGAGCCTCGGCGTGAACATTTGTTCGACCTGCGTTAAACATTCTTACCCACTTTCTCACCATTCCATCACTTATCGCGTATTCACCGTAAACTTCTGTCACTTGACGATAAATTTTGGCCGGTTTAACATTCCTCGCGTTCAAAAATTTAATCACGGCACAAATTTCACAGTCAGTGAGAGAACTAATTGTCTTAAACATTTTGAATGTGCACAGCAAACTGAAAACACAACATAGAGCAACCAAAATGGCGACAATTGAAAGTCAGTGAACAAGAAAGACTAGTGCACATGCGCGGGACGCTTACCACAGCGCTGCGACGGTGCTAGAATGAAACGGTACTTAATTTCCGAATACGCTACGTAGTTCACGTGTGGTATACGCGATATTCTTTGGTTTTTGTTGCGTAGCGTTTTTTCAGCTGTGTTGCCACTATTAAAGTTCCAACCCTCGTATATAAGAAAGCAATCAAAATTTCAAAATTATTTATAAAACATCCTGAGATACTTGAGTATGTCAGTGCCTAATGATAATACATTATTACAGATTCTTTCACAAAAGAAGCTGTTCTGGATTTTTCTAGAAAAATGTTAGCAAACTTTTATTTATTTGTCGATGTTCTCTCTCCCCCCTCCTTTTTTTTCAAAGGAAAGGGCAGTAGCTGGGTGGAAAACTTTGTTTTAAATTCTAAAGTCAACTTCACACCTATTAAAGTATGCACACCTTGCAAAAAAAAAAAAAAAAAAAAAGGGGGGGGGGGACAGGTCTATACCTCCCGTTCTACTGAACTGATTGTCGAAATTTAGCTTGCGTTTCCCATGTCTCAAAAGTGTGACTTAAAATATTAGATTTATACATAGCACTGTTACAACATAGGTATTTTGACGCAAAATCAACCTTTTTCTGAACTAACATACCATTTTTTTTTCTATATTACAATTCTCTGACTCAAATTATGCCTAGATATTAAAGTTTGTAATTTTTGGTGAGAAATTTATGGAGAAATTAAAAAATTTATCTTGGTGCATTTTTGGCAGTTTGAGCCACTTGGCGAACTTATTAATTTATAGGAACCTATTTTCTTTTCTTTTTTCCATTGTACACCAGCAGAAAAAAAATTATCGCTCATACTTTCAAAATAATTTTAATTATTTAAATAATTTTTTCATAAAAAATAGGCGAATTTTATTTGGAATGAACATAAATTTCGAAATGTGAAAGGAAGAATCAAATAAGTTTAATAAATAAAGAGAAATTAATAAATATATACCAAATTCAATTAACATGGAGAAGCTAAAATTTTAAGAACTAATTTTTTAAAAACTATTTGTGCGATTTTTACAAAACTTGGCACTTTGACTTAATTTGAGATATAGGATCGGGGAAAAAAAAAAAAAAAAAAAAAAAAAAAAAATGGTATGCTATTTCAGAAAAAGTCTGATTTTGTGTTAAAATACCTATGTTAGAACAATGCTATATATAAATCTAATACACATTCTAAGTCATGCTTTCAAGACATGTAAAACGAAAATTAAAATTCGACAATCGGTCCAATAGAACAGGAGATATAGAATTGTCCCCCCTTTTTTTTGTGCAAGGCATACATATCTGCACTGTGCCATTTTTTAATAATCCTTTCCCAGTGAAAGTTGCTTGTGTTAATTTTTACTGCATTTGTGTATTAGATATGCTGAAAAATGAAAGAGAAGCAGTCTATTATTTTCAGGAATTAGGTACTATGGTAAAAAATTACAAATGAATTCTTATGCAGTGAAACTTTAGATAATAGAAGATCTATAATGGAAATATATACTCAACTGTCAACAAAGTGTTAGAATAAGGACATGAAACTGATTCAGAGAAGTCACTTGCCTTCTTATTTAGCAGAATTCATATGAAGATAAAGACACATATGAATAACAATCTGATTTGATTTCAAAAGCAATTGCTGAGCAATACCTTCCACATAATTAAAAAAAAAGTTTAATGATCTGATGATGTCGAGAATATATTTCACTACCAAAAGACACTAATAAACTGTTCATGGTATATTATTGAGTACTGGCTAAAACCCAAAGACAAGTTAGTAATAATTGTAAACAAGAAAGCAGGAACTGGAATCGCAAACAAATTTAAACATAAAGTTAAAATTTCACAAAAGTGGTACAAAATTATCAAATGCATATATTTTTGAATTTTTACAACTAGGTATTCATTAACTTGTGAAATAATTCACCTTTATTTGCTGTTTGGGATTTCGCACAGTATGTACAGCAACTTTTAACATATCCCTGATATTTTGACTATCACAGTTAGATTTTAACAACATTCCTGGCTCTGATTCATAAATTATACGATTCAAATTGCTTTGTATGGTGCTGCTGAATGACTGTACAACTGGTGTATCTACATCTTGTAAAACTGCACCTGTAATATATAAAATAATATTTCATAATGAAGAATCAATGATAAGTTTTCAACAAACTTCAAATATTGTCTACTAAAATAAAAAATTTTATATCATATTTTACTTATTTAAGATTATAAACATAACATGTATGATAATTCTAATTATAAAGAATAATTAAAATTCACAGGAGAATCCATTATAAAGCAATATAATTATTATGAATTTAACCCACATTTGTATCACTTAACAAAGTTATACTAAAGGCAATATGTTTTTCATTTTTGCAAGGGATAAAAAATACAGGCAGCGTGATAACTAAAATTACTTTCAGCAAGTTACAAACCATAATTACATAAATTTAATGCAAGTGATATTACTGCTTACTGACATCAATCTGCAAATAACTAATACTGATACAAGCTTAAACCAAAATTAAAATAGAAATTTCAAATAGAATCTACAAAAATCCTCGATTCGGATTCTGTTCGTTATAATAAAAAGTATTTTACAGCAACTGAAATAGGTTTTTAGTTATTAAGGCTGACAGAAACATGAAAAGTATTTGGAATAATTAAATATCTTTAGATGATGTAAAATGTCTTTAGAAGTGTATCTGTTTTTAGATGATGATTTCACAAAGAAATATAAACATAATCCACATATTTATCAGAACTTTTCTATGATGCTGTAACATTACCTTTAAATATGCTTTACTTTTTCAATAACTTGTAAAATGAACTTAGATTTTAGATAGGATGAGGAAAACTTCATAAAGGGAATAAAATTTGCAGTACAGCATATAATTATAGTTCCTATATTAATAAAGAAATATTTTTGATTTATCAGAATATTTTTTAAATATTTAAATTGAAAACTAAAGGAATAATGATGTAAATTTATGCATTATTTTTACATATTTTTCTGCATTAATTTTCATATATATTATATTATTGTCTACTAGCTCCTATTTAAAAAATAATTCATTTTGTGTCCTATTTTATGGCAATTTTAAGTAGAATTTTTGCAGATTTTATACAATTTTCAATTTGTATGTAACTGTATTTTTATATGTTTTATCAGTTTATTATTTTGTAATACATATGGAATTCTGTACACAGAGAGCTAGTTCCACACGTGTGGGAGCCCAAACAGATAATTTTGTAATTAAGACACAATAACACGTCGAAAAAATACAAATTCAGAAGTCAAACAACAAAAATCAGGGTTATATTTTCAAAATTTTCACAGGACTAGTTTCGATGGTTTTACGAACCACCATCCTCAGCTGCAAAACCGGGGGGGGGGAGGAGGAGGGGGACGGTTGGCAAGTTTTGAAAGTTAGTTGGGCTCTGTCTGATGCAGTTAGTGTCGTAGCTTCGTGTAGAGTTCCAAGGGTTGTAACTAGTGCTGAAAGGTGGCAGCGCTAGTTACAACCCTACTACTACTACTACTAGGTACTAGTGAGGTACTACTGAGTTACCTCACTAGTACCTCAAAATCCGGTAGAGGAAAAAGTTTCCAGGAAAAGAAAAAAGGTTTCTTCGGCAGTCGCAACTGAAGAAAAATCGGCCTCCTGAATCTCATTTAAAAATATTTCTTGAGCTGCAGGAGCAAGCATACTCTTGCAAATACTTGTACATTTCACTATACCACAAGAACTCATTTTGCCAAAAAGAATCCAGAAATAGAGTGTTATACAACATTTTTGTGCAATCCTGGTTATGATGATGCTTAATCCTATATAACTATGATGGTGCTTAATTTCGATTGCTGATATATTGTCCTTTTCCTTTGAAGATTTCTTTACAAAAAAGTTCGAAACCGATTGCGAAGAATCTCTATTCAATATTAACAATTGGTGTTTCTTGCTTTGGTAATGTACGGTTAGGTTAGCGTTATAACTCTAACATCCTTGTACTTAATATTAACCGTTTTCTGACATAATTTACATTCTCCGTTAAAGTCGTCTCTTTTCATAAGCCAATCAAATTAAGTTAACCCACTTGTCTTGAAACGACGTCGAATATTTTGTCTTTTTTTGTGGCACTTGTTCACTTGCAGAATCAGAATCTTTTTTTTTTTTTTTTCACTAGACATTATTATGGAAGCATTTAAATAATTTCAAAATACGCACTTTTTTGTGGATAGCTAGCTAATTGCAAACTAAATTAAAGAACTGATTGAAAATGAGAGGGTGAGGGCGCATGAGCACGGCGGCCATGACTCATCCGTAAGACACTAACTCACCGCTCACGGTAGATCGCTGCTGCAAAGAATATGTATTGACAATAGACGTTCTTTGGCTGCTGTGCGCGGTCGTGTCATTTTCGATGCTCTCAACATTTCGTCCATGCACAATGTATAGTTATTTTCGAGAAACCTGATATTCCGCGAGAGTAATTTCTATTTTAAATTCCTTCCGGGAGCCGGAAGATTTTAATTTTCAGGGCCCAATTCCGGGAGAGGTGGGAACCTTAGTTGTAACCCAGTTAACATATTTTAAGGTTCCAAAATGCCACTAAAGCACCAGAGGTGATACTAAATTGCTTTGTATTATTTTAGGTCTCACTAGATACAAAGAATAAGTTTTGCATGAATTTTTACATTTTTGTGTTTTATCTTGTACCAGTTATAAATAATTGATGGTTGGTTGGTTGGTTTACTTTTAATGGCACAAAACCTTGAAGGCTATTATGCTCCAGACGATGGTTAATAAAATCCACAATTCACAAACACGTTGTATCAGATGAATTGTTGAAATGAACCTGAAATGCTGATGAAGGCATGGAGAAATGCTCTAGCAACAGGTAGAGCAGGATAAAAGAAAAAAAACTTCAAATCATATGGTTAAAAGAGATGTCTTTTAAAAATCTTTTGAGAGTGATGTGAGGGTTTCTTCCAATGAGATCTGTTAAGTTAACATTCGCAGAGTTAAAATGATACTCACGTTTCTGACTAAAAGCAGGAGAACAGGTTAATATAAATAATTGAATTACGTGGTTAGATAACCTTAGTCATTATGGATTTACATGACCACTATTAAATTTTACTTATTTTTTAAACATTATTTATTAAAAAGCCCTATTAAAATCACAATCTAATAAAATTTCACAGTTTAAAATACATGCTATTTACGTCATTCATTCTTAAACGATATTAGGATAAACATACATTAAAAGCTACAAAACATTTATGTTTTGTAGCAACCAAATTCATCAAAATATTTATGCGTCTTTTTAATCTGAAGCGTGCCCAGACCTTTTGGCTATTTTATATCGATTTCCTTCTCTTTAAGCATCTTTTCTAAGAATTAAAAATTTCTTTCAATATGCAAACCAATGATCTTAGTTTCTGTGTGCTGTATCTCCTAACTTGTCAACATCTCCACAATGTATCTACCTATGAGGGTTTATTTGATCTGGTAAAAGTTAAATAGTCCAACCCCCCTCCCAACAGACGTGCAGCACATTATCGCTATGTCTGAAAGTAACTACAAAGTTAGACAAAGGTGTAAATAAGGAACAGTCAAATTCAAACAAAAAAGGTGGACTAGTGGTCAAAGACTATACAATTTAATTTTAACTTAATTCTTTAGCAATATGAATATTCAGAAGAAATATGAAATATATATGATAAGGGCTGGTTACAGAGCTGGTGTGGCAGAATGTTTAGAATTTAGTGACACACCAAGCAACACAATCTAGAAAAGGCAAAATTTTTAGAATTTAGAGCAGGCACTGGAAGCAGAATTTAAAAGGGCACCAGTGAGCAAAATTTAGGATCTGCAGATGTAAATTTAATATTCCATGTGATTTTACCAGGTGGGAAAATGCCTAGCATCAGACCTGTGTATGATGCATTAAGACATATTAGATGAATCTTTTAAATTGCAACTTTTCAATTTCTTTATTAATCAAAAATTTCCTTTCTATAATGCCTGTCCATGTGATACAATTAGAAGCATTTTTAATATTTCCCATGCTTGTGTCAAGTGTAAAGTAGAGAAAATAAAGGAAAGATATGCATGTTAGAAAAAAGACTCTAGTTTCAGAAGTAAAACGTTCAAATATTATGTTTTCATTGTTCTCCAAAAAGTAAGAAATTCATTGCAAATTTTCAGTAAAATACATCCATTATATGTTCATACCATACAGACATTTTTCATTTTGACATTTTTCTGGAATCTTCTAGAATCGTGGGTCTATAAATCTTGCCTTAAAAATCCTTCTAAACTTTCCAAGTTGCATCCTTCGTCAAGTTGTAATTTCTAATGTCCCAAAGAAAAATTACCTCTACCAATTTTGTAACAGCAAACAGCCAGAAATATTTTGGAAAAAAAAAATCAGATTTAAAAAGCGTAAAATTAATTTTATAGAGAAAACTGATGCATATTCTGAGAATTTTGAATATTCTGAGACAATTTACATGGGAAAAACTCTTACTATGAAAAAATTAAAAACAAGACATTTTTAATTAATTACACAGCTAATTTTGCTTTTGCTAAGAGCTGTTTCGTAAATTGTGCTTACATTAAACAAACATATCCATTATTAGGGCTGTCCTCTTGAGCTAACCAGTGTGTTATCTGCACTGGTGGCCCAGGGTGCCTAGGCAGTTACTTGAAAAGGCCTCTGTTCCTTGCATAAGGTAACTGGCCTTTGAGAACTGCACTATTACGTTCCACAATGAAAAAAGTATAATAATAATATAAAAATAATTACACACACTCATAAAATAAGAGCCTCTGACATTATCTAACATGAAGAGGGTAAAAGGAACAACTGTACAGAGGTAATTACAAGCCTTTGTTTCGGAACCCAGTACTCCCTCGACAAACTCTAACTTAACATACAATCACCCATAAATTTTAACATGCATTTACCATAGTTTCATATTACTTATCTTTACTAATTTCACTTATTTTTTATATACGCTTCATTTTTAGAATAATTATAAAATTCGTATCCAAAATTTTCAAACAAAATTTCAAAAATTAAAAACTTATCTTAATAGCCTTCCCTAAAAATAATTAAAAATCTAAGAGTTCTTTACTTGCTTTACTAAATTATTAGAATTCCCATTTCTAATATCATTAAATTATATTTTTTCATACCACAGTGTTAAATTTTTTAATATCCAATTTGTTAAGGGAAAAAAAAATACACTAATGTCCAAAATTATCTTTACATACCCCAAAATGATGATATTCAATGAAATATCGAATCAATGTGATCCGTATTTGCAGGGAATGTGTGAAAACCAAGCCTAATTAGCATTATCCAATCAAAAGTAATCAAACGGTTTGTGATATGCAAATCTAGGCGTTATGTTATCCAAGGGTGAATCAAGCGCTTTGCGCAGAGTGAATATTTGAGTGAATTTCTGCAACATAGCGTTTGATTTCAGTGTGTAGGGACTCAAAGCAGTTTGTTATGGCTTCGAAGTATCATTTGGAAGAATCTGTAAAGTGGCGAATTGTCGGCCGTTTAGAAGCAGGGCAGTCAATCATGGAAACAGCCACATGTCTGAATATTTCAAGACAGACAGTCTCTAAGCTATGGAAACAGTTTCAAAATGATGGAAGTGTTGTAAGGAGGCCTGGACAAGGTCGGAAACGAATGACATCTGCTTCTGAAGATAGGTATCTGGCATTAACTGCCCGTCGTAACAGAAAGGCTACTGCTCGCCAGTTAAGTTCAGAGCTTGCAGCCGCCACTGGAACTGTTGCATCACGGCAAACAATATACAGAAGGCTTAATGAAAAAGGCCTTTATGCCAGAAAGCCAAGGGTATGTGTTTTTACTGTCTTCACAGAAAAAGAGGGATCGCTTTAATTGGTGTGTAAAGAACATCAAAACTGGACTGAACATCAATGGTCCCATGTTCTCTTTACTGATGAGTCGCGGTTTAGTTTAACTGGTGATTCTAAACGTGTTTACATCTGGAGGGAGTCAGGAACACGAAATGATACCTCGAACATTGTGGAACGTGACCGTTTCGGTAGTGGAGGTGTGATGGTATGGGGTGGAATAATGATCGATGGACGTACGCCCCTACACGTGTTAAGCAGCGGATCTGTGACAGGTCAGATATATCGAGATGAGGTCTTAGATCCTTATGTAAGACTTTTCAGGGGTGCATATGGACCTGACTTTTTATTTATGGAGGATAATGCCCGTCCACTTCGAGCAAACCTCGTTGACGAATTCCTTGAAAGTGAAGACATTAAGCGAATACCTTGGCCACCAAACTCTCCTGACCTTAACCCGATAGAGAACTTATGGGACTACCTTGGAAGAGCAATTGCACGTATACATCCTCCTCCTAGAGATGTAAATGCTCTGAAGACGGCATTTCTGGAAGAGTGGAGATTAATTCCCCAAACTGTAGTTAACAACGTTATTTCCAGCCTTAAAACATGTTGTGATATGTGTGTACAAGTCAGGGGAGATCATATTCCATATTAAATTCGTAAGACTTAATTATTTTTCTTAATCATTCCTTTTTTGTCTTAACTCTCTTTGTCACACTTTATTACCATTTTTATTGTTTCATGCTACAATTTTATATCATATGAGGTGATCTTCAATTTTTTCTTTTGCATTTATGTGCCCATCATGTTATGTATGATTCCACGAAATTTCATTAAATTATAAAACATAGTCTCTGAGAATTCCGTGAATTTATGCATGTAAACATAATTTTGGACATGAGTGTATCAGTTCCCAATGAAGATTTAATTATGCAAAAACAGACGTGAAAACAATTTTCTGGCACCTACCTCACTTGTAAATTTAATCCTATAACTTCAAAAGAACAACCTAAATTATTCGCATAAGAGCCATATTAAGATACGCAGCTAGCACTCTGAAAATATTTGTTAGCACTCGGAAAATATTCCTCCTTTTACTATACACAAACACTGGATTAATTTTAGAAAGCTGGCTCTAGATTTCATTTTTAAGCACTCGGGAATTCTATGATACGAATTTATTTTTCACATTTTCAAATTGCTGTTTAATTACAACGTTGCACTTATTAAATCATCCTATATGATAGATTAAATTCGAAGAATGGATTTTGAATTAAAACATTTAAAACTTTTAACACAACTTGCTGATTACAGGTTGCACACATAGATTGACAGAGCCAAAGATATCTTGAAGATTAGAACATGAAGGCATAATTTAACTAATTCACTTTCCCAGTCATAGCAACAATTTGGATGATAACACTTCTGTGAAGAATAGGCACACTTTGATTTAAAACACTTTTTTTTTTCTTCTAAACACTTATGAGATAGCTGCCCACTTCATTTTCACAGACGTTATCACTTTTGGACTTGCAGATACTCGATATACATTATGAATTTTTGTTACACATGGAAGTTAGAAGAGAAGGTTGGTTATTGTAGACACTGTGATGACATTTCCACTGGAATTCCAATGCACAGGACATGTGTCCTGTCGACTTGTAATATATTCAGGAGCAGGAATTTTGATGTCTTAGAATGCAGAAACAACGATCCACAATGAATAGGAAATCTGGCAATCAAGGTATATTTAATTCAACTTTTATTGCAGTAAACATGATATGGCCGAATCCAGCCGGCACATTACTTGTGCCTATTCCAAAAAGTTTACATTTTTGATAACTTTGTAACACGAAAGCAGCAGCAGAGAGACAGCAGTGCAGGTAGGCCAAAGCATAGAAAGGAAGTGCGCTATGTTCAGGATGAAATCTTAAGTCAAACTGAGTTAGTTTTGGTTCTCAAAGCATTTTGATTGGATAGTTAATATTGCTGTAAAATTATTATTGGATGGTTGAGTTTTAGTTCCATTTACATCATCAGAATTACGTAAAGAGTCATATGACATAGAATAGTCTCGAAATAACACAGTGCAGAAAGAGGTTACTATTTTTAGAATAGAGAAGGGAAATTAATTTATGCTGCTAATTTAATCTTTTACATATTCTTTTTTCTCTTACATATATATATGTATATATACACATTCCAGTTTATTACTATTCTACCATATTTTTTAATAATGCATTTCTAATAATTTTTAATAATTCTAATAATTTAATTTTTTAATAATGCAAGTTGAAAATTCAGTCTATATAAAAAGTTACCTTTATGATACAAAGAACTTTTTTCTGCTAAAAAACACAAATACGATTCATTCGGGTCCCCTTTATATGAGGATGCTATGAATAATTGTCCATCTTCAACATGAAGTTGTAACTTTCCGCAATATTCAGGCATTACTTTATTGTCTGCATCCTGAAAAGAAAAATTCAAAAAATGGTACCAATTTCTTTCTAAAATCATCCAAATTACAGAAAAAATACAACATAAATGCCTAAAACGTTTCTTAAAAGATATGAAAGTGATTAAGTCACAGGATTAAAAATTAACACAATAAAATTAACTATTATATTAAACTAACACTGCAAGCATTATATTATTTTAAAATGATGGGGTCTAAGGATTCCTATATTAAAATTAAAATAATCAACTTAAAATGTTAAATAGCACTATACTCAAATATACTTAATAAAGCAAGTTGTTAAATAAAGCAAGTTACAAAATATTAGAAGTTTGAAAACACCTGCTACTAGCCATTCACTGTAATATATGATGCACCTCAATGAGTAGAACACTTCAATAAAGTGCCCTAATATCTTCTGAATTAAAAAAGTACAAGTAGCATAGTAAATCTAGTACAAGTGGCTTCTGCGAGGCAGATTTTTTTATAAGCTATGGTTCTTTTTCCTATTTTCTTTTATTAGGAACAATAGTTTTCAGTTTTGACTCAAAAACATGCAGTTTAAATAAATTTGATAAGTAATTAAATCTGGTCAGTACACTCTCATTTCTAGATCTCTAAGTTCCACCCCCCCTGTTCCATACGCTAACCAGATTTCAGACATCTTACCAATCTGAGATATTCTATATCTTCATAACACCCTTTGCATCATCTTTCATATGTTACTAAAATAAGTACTGATAAACACACCAGCGGAATAATAATGTTAGTGTCACATAAATGAAATATATTATTATTAAATTGGAACAGAGATGAAATAATACATAAAAATATGCAAGCTATCAATGAAAAAATATAAATGATTCTTCATTGCAATAGTAAGTGACTTCTTTAACTTGCAAATAATGATCAATGACTTCCCTGAGAAAATCTTGTTCCAGGTATCTTTTAAATCAGAAAATATAGCAAACTTGTTGTTTGACCCCAGGCAAATTATTGCAATATGGCACATAACACTTTGTGCCAGAATCATTTCTTATATTAACTAAATAATGTAAATGTTTGTTAAAATATCTGTTAGATATATTATAAAATATATCAAAGAGCTATACTGAAAAAATAAAAATTACAAAATAAAATGTACTGTTTTTAAACCATGAAGCTTATCACATGGATACGAAATGTGCTGCTATAATTTGAAAGACAGAGATTTCCCCCAACCATTGGCAATAGTTTTCAAAAGTGACAATGGGTCATCATATTGGAACAAAAATTATGTTCATTCTATTAAACTATTAAAAGTTACATGAAAATCGCTCAGATCTTTATAATGGGATTAGCTGTTACATATAGGCTTATATTAATGCATGCTAAACGTAGATTGATAGTTCACTGTTCTATTATGTTGCTATTATAATAATAATAATTAATATAAAACTGCAAACATTATTTCATTCGTAAAATTAAAAATTTCCACTAAGCATTATTAAGAAATGAGAAAAGAAAGAGCTTGAAGACCAGCTTGAGGACCAGTTCTGAATCTTAAGCTTTTAGAAAACTAAATAAAATTTCACAATTGATTTATTACAAAACCCACTATTTTTTAAATAAACATTCTATAAATTTTTATTCCAAAATGAATATAGTATCATACCAGTGCTGGTGTATTTACAGTGAGCATCCCTTTTGTTATAACTAAGGATACTGAGATTTTAGTGAACATGTCATCATTTGTTTTTCTTTTGTGCTTTTGCTGCTGACGTTGACAGTATTCAAAAACAGAACAGTAAGCAGCTTCTTCTTCATCTGAATCTGAATTTGAATCTATAAGAAAAATTACTGAATTACCTTCAGATAAAAATAGCATGAAATCATATTTTAACAAACTATTAATAAATAAATAAATAAAACAAAGGAACAATTATTTTCTTTTCGGCAGATGACATAATATATTCTGAAAATGTTCTTGAGAACTGTAAAAATTAAGCTCTTAAGATGATTATATCAACAGAACTTCACAAAAGAAGAAACAGAAAAGATAAGAAAGGCTAATATAAAAGGCTGTTAAGAATCAATTAATAAAAGAAATAATTTTCATAAAAATGTTTTTACATTACAAAAGTGTACAAAGTAATGACTGTTTCAGTATCACAAACAAAATGGAGGTATGAAAAATTAAGAAAAACTTTGATCTTCATTTTCTAACTGCTGAAAAATATTGTTGCGTTTTTCTTTTCCGACACCAGTTATGACGTTATTTTCTTCCTTCACGTTCGTATGGGGTTCATGTGGATTTGGAGTGAATAACGACAACACTTGATGTAAAGTTGTTGAAGATCTACAATAAACACACTGAAACAATCAGCAACACAGCCTTCACACTGTAAGGCAATAACGGTGAAGACAGTTTCACTGCAAAGCACCAGAGTACAGCTCGCTCCTGACTTTGCTTGGTCGTTCTCGGAACTTCACGTACTCTCGAGACTCTCCACGCTACAACTCGCACATGCACTCGACAACACACAGAGCACAGCTCCTTACTCTTTGGTTCAGTCGTTCCCGGAGCTTAACACACTCTCTCGACGATACACTAAGAGTCTCTTCGATGCACTCGATGACCCACTCGGCACTCGCTGGTCGGCTGTCAACTCGACCATTTCCGCATGGACTAACTAAATGAGACACACTCGCTCAATGACTGACTATCAGCTCTCTAGACGAGGCACACTGACTGACTGCGGGCCAGCAGGGTTTATATAGCTTTTGGCTTGTGTTCGAGAACATTCTGGGCTAAACCAGTAAGAATTCGTTCCAGAAGGTTCTGCATCCATTCATGGTATATCACCAATTTTGTTGCCAAATGTGGCAACCCTGCTTTACCTTGCTATTTATGGCAACCCTAAACCTGCTTTGCGGGAAAGCTATCTCACCGTGCCTGTACATTTTGTAGCACTATCATTATGTAAGGTTTATATGAACTAACCCATTATTTCTTGTTAAATCTATCTGCATTTCTACTGTTTTGCCTATTCTATCAGAATGTGTAAATTAAGTGAGTTTTAAAAAGGATTAATGATATAAGTTAAATGAGCATTCTGGAACATCTGCCTGCCCTGGTGAAACTCCTCTGCTGTTATCTGCCCTTAGCACTGTTGCTACTATCTAGTGAGTTGTTTCTGATAGAAAATTCAATAAATTAGTAATGGACTATTAGAGGCAAGTTATTGAACTTAAACTCTTACTTTGAATCATGGTGTATATCTATCCATAAGTAGCGGAATTTCTTCATTGGTTCATCAATTTTCTTAATTGTTTTAGTTCTATAATTTCTGACTGAAATTCAAATAAATCCTTCAATTGTTTACATTACTGTAATTACTTAAGAGTTCAACTTTGTATTGAAATGCAAAGTTGGGGTGAAAATTTACCCAGTAGTTGAGAAAACTATATTATATATAGTCTAAATAAGCTAAATTCAGGTTATCTTTATTGTCTAATTTAAGTAAAGTCACATTAAGAATATTTAAATATTGCCAGCTATGGCTGCTGGTGGTGACAGAAGCTTCAAAAACTAATATAATATATGCAAAATATTTTCTTATCAGAAAAAACTTTCAAACATGCTTTTTATTTGTACAGAACATAAATTTAGTAACTCCTCTGCTGTTAATTGTGTAAGTGAAAACTGAAAAATATTATTGAAGATTTTGAAAATTGGAACAATACTTTTTACATCAATTCAATTACTTATTCATACTGTATCTGCTATTTGTCAAAAAGGAATTTCTTAATAGTGTTCATTTAAAATCTATTAATTACTACTTACATCATTTTTCTGAATATATGATATCAAATGGGGGGGATGGATATTACATGAACAAATAACTTGAATAACTGATCTTAACTTTGCAAACTCCATCATATTTCAGTTTTTATTAAGTTATATTCTATTAATATCAGCTCTAATGGACATTCAAAAGCCAGTATAATTATTACAATGGTAATCATTACATTCAAATGCTTTGAGAAGCAAGAAAAAATATAAGAACCAATAGAAATATATAATAAAAATATATTTGTTAATACTGAAACTGTTAGAAAAATTTATTGCATTATTATATTTCTTGCTAACCTAAAAAGTTGCATACTGAAGATTACTTTTAACTGTTTACAGATTTAATTATTAACATTATGACTATTAACATTCTCAAAGAAACTTAAAATTTAATAAATGTTACATAAAAACATAGCTGAAATTACTGCCATTGCTCAATACACAAACTTAACAATTCAATAAAAACACACATCAAATAGCATAATTTCACAATTACTAAGAAAATACTTAATAATATTAATTGCTGATTATACTTCAGAAACAGAAAATTATGAATTTTTGAACTTTTCAAAGGCGCAAAACTATGTACGTGACAGTTATTTGTGCATTTAAAAATCAGTTTACAAAAGTGAAAAGGTAGGCACATAAGAGTTAATAGCAGCACATTTAAGCTTCCTATGAAGTGGCTTTATATATACATATATTATATAAATATATACATATATATTAAAAAAATATATGCATGTATATAGATTAAGAGGGTACTTTTCTGTTAATAAGGAGCTAAACGACAAACGTGGTAGCCTGTTTATATTATGTGATAAATAGTTGTGCAATGATGTCACTATGAAAAAGTAAGAAAAATGACTATCAAATCCAGGAATTTTCTCTCCTAGATTTTCAGTTAAGCAGAAGAAGTAGCAGATGTGAACATTTGGCAAGTTAACCACAAATACGATGTTATTGATTCTATGAAAAGTCATGTGCAAATTGGCAAAAATAAACATCAGCGCAACATTGCCTGCCACCATCTAGAGTCCTACCTTATGGAATTCATGTGGTGGTGATCACATGAAAAGATTTAAAATATATTTGGCAATTTTAAATGAAAGTTTTATGCCTCGCAAATAATCAGAAATTAATCTGAAAAAATGTAATTTGTCTTCCCCCCTCTTATTTATTCTGGATTAAATAAAACAGCAGTCAATCTTTTTAAAAATCACCAAAGTTGCTACCATCTAGTTAGATTTCACATCAATGTTTATTTCGGATAATAAATAGTGCTCTTTTAACAGAAAAGTACCAAAAGACAAAATTGTTAAACCACTAAACAACTTCTGACTATCTCAAAAAATGAAACAACCAAAAATGAAAGAGGTTACAAAAAATATGTGCACACAAAATTTACCAATTCTACTGCAGAATAATAACTAATATTTATAAAATCAAGATGAAAAAAATCTTACCATTTGAAAAAGGTTTAAAGACAGGATACTGGTCATATGCAGAATCTTTAGTCATATGTACATCGAGATCTAAGCCTGGTGCATGAACTTTGAATCTGTTTGGATCATAAGTAGCAGCTGGTGCAAGAGAAGCATTTTCCCATAAAAGCAGATCACTACACAATCTAAATATGATTATTAATAAGATTATATCAGTAATAAGTATCAATATACTTCATGACAAAGGAAACCTATGAATTTAAGACAGCCTTTTTTTGGGGGGGGGGTATTAAAATTTTCTATTATTTGTGGATTTTTAGGGCAATTACAATAAATCACCTATTATTAGTAACTTTAATAGCCTTCAATACAACAACCCAAATATTGCCCACATAAGGCTCTTGTTTTTTATGCATCAGTTTCTTATGTATTTATTATAATAATAATCTACCTGCTTTTTTTATTTATATTTCAGTTATAAGCATGTTCATTATTTTTACTTCGCCATCAACTGAAAATGGCACTATGAGCACAAACATCAAATACAACTTTATAATAAAATTACATGGATTGTACCGCACTATTAAAAATAACTGGGGGAGAGTTTCAGTGACAGAAACTGTTTTATAGATTAAAAATTCTTTTTCTGACCACACTAATTTTTACTTCTTAGTGTGGCCAGAAAATCAAGTGAAATCAATCAAGATAAAAAAAAAAAAAAAGTCAAGTGATGTGAGAAACAAATATTTCTAGCAATACAACCACTGTTTAGAATAAACTTACAAGAAATGTTTGTTCAAACCATTGGTCAAGCACGGCAAAATCTAAACAGGAGGAACCACTAGGAGACATGAACCTCAAAACAACATAGTGTTTCTGAAAGTTGAATTTAAATGATGAAGATGCCAAACTATTTTTGAAATATGTTAATTGAAGTTCTATCTTGCTGTATTTATGTCAAAAATGCATAAGGACTGAAATAAATTGTTTCAAAGTTTTCTCGTGGTGATTGCAGAATTTCGGTTGCCAAAATTTCTTGCAATGGCCTGTTTTAGTGAACTAGTAGCTTAAAAGCTCCAGAATCAATTTATATACTTTAATAAAAAATTTTATTTCAATTTAAGGGAAATAAAGAATATAGTCGAATCCTACTAATAAAACCAGTACATAACAAAACCCTGGATATAATGAACTAACGTTTTAGTCCCATCCAGTTTATTATACACTTACTGACACTGTATACATGTGAGAAGTCTGAAGGTGGTTGAGCACTATTAATATAAAAAAGCACTATTAATATGACGGAAAAAAAGAAAGAGCCCGCTTACCTCTGTATCAGCATTCAGCTCTCTGTGCTGGAAGAGAAGTATCAAGGTATGAGAAGGCTGAGCTTGCAGTACTCTTATGGGATTCTTTGTTGTGAATCAGGAATCAGATATTATGAGCTAGCTAACTACTTCTTGCTAAATACATATTGCTGATAGAGTAAACTTCCAAGAATATAAAAATAGGATATAACAAACTGTATGGATACCTTTGATTGAAACTCTTTTTGTATTTTTCACATATTTTCCACAATTTCAAGTTAAAAAAAAATACTAACCAGAAAAAATCATCCATGTTTAGATTATCAGGTTGCCCACCAGCAGCCAAGCGGTAAAGTCGCTGAACACTGGTAGTTCGGTCCGAGGTTTAAATCCCACGAACGGGCTGGCTGCATGGGCGTTTTCATGGTTTTCCCAATGTGTAACGTGTATACGAGCCAGTTACCCTTAGAAAGTCCTCCATGAAGGCATCCCTCCCCTTAGGCAGATAGCCGTCGAGGCTTTGCCATAATCACACACACACACACACAGAATATCAGGTTACACATTCCATTCTTAAAGGAAAACATCTTTCTGTTAGTTTCACCCCCAACTTTTCTTTTGTTCTTAACTAAGGCTATATTATCCAGCTGTAGGAGAATGTGGATACATTAGGATACCATATGGTGTACATGATGATTGAACCAAAAAACATGAATGGGACTGTTAGTTCATAGGAATTTTGCTGTTCAGGTAAAGAAGTAGTACAGGATCTTATCCTGTACAGTTTTTCAGTTGATTCTTCTTTTAAGGTGTAAGGTCCCTCACTTGAAATTCTAAGTTAATGTTGGAAGTGAGGAACCTAGGAAATGATAAGCGAATAATCGCTACAGTTCGAAGACAGGAAACAACAAGAGAGAAGGGTAAATAACCCTTCATTATTTCTATAAGATTTAACAAAACTCCGCCTGGGAGTGAACAAATAAAGTCTGCACTTTTGACTTGAACTTAAAAGACTAAGAATTAAACTAAAACTATTGAAGTTAAGAATTTGACAGGAAAGGAACTTTAACTTAAAATTTAACTGTTAATAAAATTAACATAATTCTTATAAAGGAATGAAAGGTTTTGATCATTATTGGTTTGTTTTGTTTGTTTAAATGCTCTTCCAGGCTGTATCCTTCAAATAACTGCAAGCTTGAACATTATATTAAAATGCTTTATTTAGGTCAATATGCACATTTTTCATTATGAGTTTGTATCATTATGAGTTTGTATCATTTTCATTATGAGCTTTATGTATTTAGCAAGAAGTAGTTAGCTAGCTCATAATATCTAATTCTTGATTTGCGACAAAGAATCCCATGAGAACCCCAAGCTCAGCCTTCTCATGCCTCGACACTTTGAGCACATACAGCCGAATGCTGATACAGAGATAAGTAGCCTCTTTCCTTCAGTTTTATATTAATAGTGACCAACCACCTTCAGACTTCTCACATGTCAGGCCTTGTATGACACTAATTCAGGCTTCAACTAGCACTGATAAATATACGAGGGCTATCCAGAAAGTAGATTACGTTTTGGAATAAAAAAATAAACAAAGTATAGGAAACAAATTTTATTATATACAGATGAAAGCCACACTCAAATACTACTTTTCTACATAGTCACCATACAAATTAAGGCATTTATCGTAGCGATGTACGAGCTTGGAAATTCCTTCGTCGAAAAATTCGGCCGCCTGCGCCTTCAACCACTTCGTTACCTCTTCTTGCAGCTGTGCGTCGTCATCAAAACGCTGCATAGCCAGCCACTTCTTCATTGCTGGGAATAGGTGGAAGTCGCTCGGTGCCAGGTCGGGACTGTACGGCGGATGAGGAAACAACTCACAACTCCCACTTAAAAGATTCAAGAACTTTACGAGTGACATTTGCCGTGTGGGGCCGGGCGTTGTCGTGAATCAACAAGATCTTAGAGCTCAACATTCCTCTGCGCTTGTTTTGAATTGCTCTTCTGAGTTTTTGGAGAGTTTGGCAATACCTTTGAGAGTTTATTGTAGTGCCTCTTTCCAGGAAGTCCACCAAAATTACACCTTTTCTGTCCCAAAAAACAGTCGCCATCATCTTCCTTGCCGACATTGTTTGCATGCATTTCTTGGGTTTTTTGGGGAGAACTTGTGTGCCCCCACTGCATTGATTGCAATTTCGTTTCACAGTTCACATGTTTCACCCACCCATGTTTCGTCACCAGTAACGATGCGATCGAGTAAAGAGTCACCATCCTTATGGTAAGCGTCCAAAAAGTTCAACGCTGCAGCCATTCGCTGATTTTTGTGGTCCTCTGTCAAGATTTTTGGAATCCATCTTGCACAAAACTTGTGGTAACCAAGCTTTTCGCTGATGATTTCGTGCAACAAACTTCGCGAAATTTGTGGAAAACTCAAAGAAAGTTCCGTTATTGTGAAATTTCGATTTTCACGGACTTTAGCATCGACTTTTTCGAGAAGTTCGGCGGTCACTATGCTGGGTCTCCCACTTCGATCTTCGTCGTGAACATTGGTTCGGCCATTTTGAAATCTTATGACCCACTGACGCACTCCACCTTCAGTGATAATGTTGTCCCCATACACTTCACGAAGCTGCCGATAGATTTCTATCGGTTTACAGTTTTTTGCAGTCAGAAACCTTATTACTGAGCGCACCTCGCAGCTCGCGGGATTTTCAATTAACGCAGACATTTCAAACCGTCACAGTATCTGAACGGAGCACAGCACGAACCTCTCACTAGCACGGCTAGATGCAGGCTGAGCTGCGCAACGCTCTGACCCCAAGATGGCCGCGCTAGCCCCGCCCCTAGCGGACACAGACGGAAACGTAATCTACTTCCTGGATGGCCCTCGTATTTTGCTCAGTAGCCAGACTAACAATCAAAGTACCTCTGTATAGGTTTTTTGCAAAACAGAAGATCTTCTTTGTAAAAATCATTAAATCTTTGTGTAGCAACCCCTACATATCTTGTTGGAAATTATTGCATTCTCAACATGCACTGGAATAATTGAATACCAGAGTGCAAGGTTACCTTTTAGTTTGACATTATGCTTGGCGATGGTTACAGATTTCAGCTAACTACCCAGCGAAGTCTTGAATGTGTGGATGAAGAGAAATTTAACAAAAATTTCTTTCCATATAAAAGAATAGATTTTGTAAATGATACTCATAGGCCATAAGATTATACCTAGTGCTATTTGAATTCAGTATAACTGATTCAGATAAGCTCAGGACTGGCAACAGAGCTGGTGCGGCTGCATCGGGTAGCAGAAATTAGGGCAGAGAAAACTTTCAGAACTTAGAAAAGCACCGATCAACAAAATAATTAAGGGATTACAAAATCTTTAGAATTTAGGGAAGGCACTAGGATGCAAAATTTATGGGCAGCAATATTTTTAGAATTCAGGGCATGCAGAGTCTGCACCTGGCCACAAAATGTATAACACAGGCCCTAGAAATTTATTTATTCAGGAATTAGATAAGCCTTAAGAATGTGTGGAAAATAGGTGTAAGTAAAATAAATAATTAAATTAATATAATTCAGGTTTAACTTCATTTGTATGTGATAGAAACGAAATAAAATTTAGTGGATAAACATGTGTTTAGTCACCAATCTCACAGTACATCACAAATACTGTATATCTAGATAAGTTTTATGATAGCCATGAATTCGAAGATTTTTAAATAACACATAAAAAGTGAAATTTTCCAATTAAAGGCATTGTGAAGAAATGTGAAGTGGTAATAAATGAAGATCATATTACAGAAACTTTTTATTGCAATGACAATGCTCTAATCATCAGTCAACTAACGAACAGCAAAATCTGTAGTATCGAGAAAACATTGTTATCGATAGTAAAGAAAGTGAGGTTGCTGAGGACAAAAACATTCTGATTGACAATTTAGTGGGAATTTTCAACAAGGCAATTAGAGAACTTGAAGATGAGAACTATGTAGCAGAACAAAGCATTATGCTTATTTATGGCATTAAAGAGAGAATTTTAGCCAAAAAAAAAAAAAAGATCCACCTTAAAAAACTTACATTGAAGGAAAGGCTTAATAAAGCAGACAAAATACTGAGGCCTCCCCCCCTTTTTTTTTGTAAATTTTGATTCATGTAAGATTAGAAATTCTCCATTAATTTTATTTTTAATTTATATCCTACCATGTATCTTAGTAGATTTAAACTGATGATCTAATATCCAGAAAAATCCCAGACCCAGAAACGCTGAAGTCCTTATGGATATTGGACTTTATACCGTGTATAATATTTTGCACTTACGTTAATATGTGAGTAACATACTGCCCAACCTATGACACTCAAAATCAGAGATCAAGAATCAGGAGTTTTTACAATGTTAAAAGACTTTTTAAAATTATAAAAATATGGTTTCTAATGAATAACTTTAATAGTAACTAATTTTTAAATGCAAGCAACACGAAAATACCTTACACATAAAAACATTTTTTATTACGTGCATTTTTACGGAAATAAAATAAAGGAGGGAATTTTAGTTTAGAAAATTAGGAAGTTTCTTCTTAAAGAAACTAATTTGTTCACTGCAATTGACACTTAGGCCTGCTTCCCAAGAAAAGTTCTTCTAAGTGTCATCACTATATTAGATCAAATTTAGGTCCTCGTTTAGCAACAACATTGAAAATCCTCTCACACTCTGTACACTATGGGAACTGTCAAGATGGCCACACAATTCTAGACGTTGGCTATATTTTAAAATTCCATCATCCTTTCAGTTTTCCAATTAAAACTCCACTGGGTGTCAATCCTAGCTGATTTTATAACTTCATTCAAGTTTTCTAATTAAATGCTGTTATGCAGCTGTTGGAACTGTTTCAATTTTTCCTCCTTTTAGAACCCTTTCAAATAATAATAAATACAACAATGTGTTCATCCACATTTATTGGTAAAGAAGCTGCCCCTTTTTCAGCTGCTAAATTTAAGAGGTGACAGGTGCACCTCATAATCTGCAAATCTGAATTTTCCTTTCTTAAGATGCCTGCAACACCAGTCTTCAAGCCTAACAATACTGGTGCATTATCGGCACCAAGTGCTAAGCAATTATCCAGAGGGCCTGCATTTTCTTTTAAAATTTAATAATTAGCTGTGGTATATTAAAGCCTGTCAAATGTCCTTCTAAAATGGGGACAGAAAGTAAACTGCACTCAATTTCTTAAGAATCTGGATTAAAAAAAGAAACAACAATTGGATACAGTTTTGAATCGGTATTATTGCTTCTATCCGTAGAGAGGCAGAACGGAGCTGTTTTGGCAATCAATGACTGGATTTATTTTCAAACTCAATTCTTTAAAAATTGCACCTGTTTTTGGTTCTTGCACTTGAGTATTTCTTAGCAATTTCACTATCGGGAAACATTTTCTAAATAAGCTGCAGCGTGATCGAGCATTCAGTGGCAGGTTGTGCTCCCGTAAAAAGGCAGAGAACATACATTCTGCATTAATAACTTTTTGGTCCTTTGTTTCCGAAGAAAAATTTAATTTTTCGTTTTTTAAAAACAACTCATGTTATCCTTGTGTTTTGTGTTCGCACATGTTTGAGAACATCCACCCTTCCACATTGCGAATTCGAAAAATCACAACGACAGGCGGTGCACATCGCAAATTTATTTACCATTTCCTTGAGGAAATAATGGAAGGAAAGTCAACTTGTACGATTTTTGAAACGTACACGAGTATTTCATTCTCACAGACATAACAAAGATGATAATTTCTAAAACTATTTCCCGAAGGCACGTGCACCTCACACAACTCAGCACAAATTGAACGAATAACTAAAGAACATCCAAATAACAGCTTTCCTTGTCCTCATTGGCTAATATATGCCAGCTGACACGCAGTGGAGTTCGATGCCCATTGGAGAACTGGAGAACGACGTTCTGGGATACGTATAATGCTCTCACTCACAAAGCATGTTATCTGATTCGTAAGTTTTTGTTTTAGATATAATCTAGAGAAAATTCAATTGCTTTCAGACGTCCAAAATCACTTTTGTTCATATAACAAAGTATTAAGCCAAGTTCCATAAAAATCGTGAGAAATTTTAAGAATAAGAAAAAGTCCGGAGAAATATATTGTAAATCGGGTTGGCGGGAGATCGGTCGAAACTCGGGAGTCTCCCGCCTAAATCGGGAGAGTTGGCAACTCTGGAGTAATAATGTACTCACATATTAATGTAAAACAAAATTATATATAAATATTAACTGATCAAATTTTTTATATAAAATTCTGAAAACTTCTACTGTATGTTAAAACAATTCAGACAAAATAAAAATATAACAGAAAAAATGTGCTAAAATTATTTAGGGGTGGAAGACTGAACTTTGCACAATTTAAGTTTCATTTTAAACAATAAATTTCATTTATTATTGAAAAACACTTTCCTTAGTAAAGGTTAAAAATCGAAAACCAGGAGATTCAACTATCTAGCAGGAGACACAGTGAAAAACTGGGACAGCTGGCAGATATAGGTCTTACACATCTTTGTTGGTTGCAGTCTCTGGTACTAAATTTTCATCATTTACTGATTTTTTGTTTTACCATAATTCACATGACATGACATGGTCTTGGTTTTTCATTTTTAGATAGAAAAACAGCAAGAAAATTCAGATGCTGGAAATAACATTTTTGGTCAATGAAATATTAAACCAAGCTATATAGAGCTTCAGAGAGATATAATTTCAATCAGGTTGGAAAGAGTATAATAAAAAATGGGGAGTGTACTTAAATCAGGAAAATTGTTACCTCTGAAATAGTGTATACAAAAACCAGAGTTAGTAATTTTACAATCAACATGATGATAGAAGCCTATCTTATTACCCCCCCCCAAAAAAAAATTGTACACAATAATACTTGTTGTAAGATGTTTCTGAGAAGTATATATAAAATTATTTTTATAAGATGCATTTTATTATGCTAATGAGAAACGTGCTTTTATGATATGGAATAAAAGAAGTTCATAGGACTTGATGACTGGCAATAGCAACTGAACTTTATTTGAGTCAGAAAGATGCAACTCAACGAAAACAATAAAACTCTCCAGAATAAGTGAAAATATTTTTTATTTCCTAAGAAGTTAATTTTAAAATTGTAAATTAAATAAAAATGAATTTGAAATTGATAAATTCTAAAATAAATAAAGATATTAATTTATACTACTAAATATTTTACTGTTACTCAATGTCTTGAAAAACACTATTTTGGATTTAATCCCATTTCAAGTACTTTTCGACTTTTTAAATTAATTTTTAGCACTTACTTAAATATTCATAAATTATCTTTCAATTAATAATGACCTGAGAAGTTTAAAGCCATAAAAATCATAAAATCGAAGAATGCATTTAAAAACTCCCATTGAACATTTAGAAATACTTTTACACTCAGAAATAACTTCTAATAAAAAGAGAATACACCCACAAGAACATTTTTAATACATGCTCTAATCATAACATCAATATAAAATTTATGCAGTATAAAATAATACAGTTATTAATCCATAAATGACAATATGGTAAAAAATTTGAAGAACTTATTTTTAAAGAGCTTTACTGAAAACTCAGTAATTTGCAATTAAAGTAACAACAAAAAATACAGATATACTTACCTATTGGATAGCAATTCAAAGAACTCTTTATCATGTAAAATCATATTAATAGTAGGAAGTGTAAATTCCAGCAAATATTCACTCTTATTTACAATTTGTTCCAGGAAATTCAATATAGTTTCTTTGTTAGCAGGTTTGACAATCTAAAAATATATATAATAAAGCATTTAAATAAAAAAATTCAATAAAAAGGTACACTGCTCAAAAAAAAAAAAAAAAAAAAAAAAAAAAAAAAAAAAAAAGGACAGTCCTATATCTCCCGATCTACTGGGCCGATTGACAAAATTCAAATTGCGTTCTTCATGTCTCGAAAGCGCGACTTAGGATATATATTAGATTTATATACAGCACTATTCTAACATAGGTATTTTGACATAAAATCGGACTTTTTCTGAAATATCCCTTAGAAAGTTCTTCACGAAGTATTTCGTCACAGCCTTTAGAGGCTAAACATTTTGAAGCTATGAGATGAAAGGAAAGACTGGTTTCATCAAAAGGTTTTGGTTTATTTTATTATGACAAAGCACACTACGGCTATCTGCCTAAGGGGAGGGATGCCTTCCTGGAGGACTTTCTAAGGGAAACTGGCTCGCATACACGTTACACATGGGGAAAACCACGAAACGCGCCCATGCAGCCAGGCCCGTTCGCGGGGATTCGAACCTCGACCGAACTACCAGTGTTCAGCGACTTTACCGCTCGGCCGCTAGTTCATCAGGAAGGGAAAAAACATCTTTAAGTGACATCCACATACATCACTGGATAAACTCCTGAATCTTCAAATAATTCGACTGAGGAAATCATGGGATTCACCATTTATGATACGATATGATGTTCTATAATGTAATTTACACAACCATATAGTTTAAAATCAGTCGCTCTTCACTTTAATCTGCTGATGATATCGTTTTGTCTTTTCTGTTAACACAAGCTCAATTGATGGTATTTGCTGGTGTACTCGTCCAAGTGTTTTCTCTTTGAACACCTAAATTCTTTGAAGTATCCTGAAAGTATATTCGAAAGCGTCCAACTTTTTGAACATCTTGGTACGTCTGACAGGCAAATTTCCCTGCAAATTTTTTCTTACTTTTCTCCCTAATTTTCTTCTTTCCTTCTACAGTTATTTTCAGTGCTCACACAAGAAAATTAAGATTTTTCGACTGCTAGACTTCAATACATTTTGCATTCTTGTCAATTTTTTAAAATATCAATTATATGAATTGCGTTTCAGCTAAAGACAGCTTTTCATTTTTTAGTCATTTTAGCTATAAATAAAGTTTAAAGCGAAGTCCAAAGGATAAATAATTTAATTAAAAGATTTTTGCTAAATGACAAAGAAATAAAACAGTCCAGCACGGTTTATTCTGTACCACAGAGTGACCCGATTCTTATATCGGCTGAAACAATCTAAATCATATTAAAGATCATGTTTTTTTATACAATCTATAACGTGCGAGAAAAAATTAGCTTCTTAAAACATGCTTTCTAAGAGATTAATATAAAAATTTATATTTATATATATATTTTTTTAAGTTGGGACTTGAAACCAAACTGTCAGAACTTTTAAAGCTTTATTTTACATGGTGGTTATTATTAAAGTTTCCTCTTTGAAATGGTCATAAAAGGAAAACTACCGGACCAAATGTCATCAAACTTGGGAAACGTGTAAAGGAGGTTATGAGAATTTATTTTCGGCGAAAAAAAAAAAAAAGAGTTAAAAAACTCACCATCAGGGGAAAAATGGCGCTGTATACAATATTGTTAAATGAAATAAGACACGAAAACATCTGTTTAAAATGTGTTTAATATTTTCCGAAACGTGTTACAAAGCATGTTCAATGTAGCGTCCAGCATTTTCCGAAAGCAAGTTAAATCATGTTACTGCATTCTCAACAGCAGCTCTTAGCATATCAGGTTTGGTTTTGGTTTGGTTTATTAGATTACGGCAAAGCACTCGAGGGCTACCTGCCTTAAGGGAGGGATGCCTTCGTGGAGGACTTTTAAGGGAAACTGGCTCGTATACACGTTACACATAGCATATCAGGAGGAATGTTATCAGTGTATCACATTTTTCATTTCTGCCAAATTGTTTAGATTATCACCATAAACAGTGCTTTTGAGATAACCTCATAGACAAAAGTCACAGAGGTTGAGGTCTGGTGGGAAGAGGGGAAGTGTTGGCCTATAAGACGTTCATTTGTGAAATGTTGCCTAAGTAACTATGCGACACTCTTGAGGTGGTGGCCCAAGCCCTGCATAAAAATCGTAGTATCTAAAATGCCACGTTACTGCAGTTCATGTATCACGAAACATTTTAATATTGACTCTAAGCGAGCTGCAATCGCAGTGGTCCAGCTGTCGACTGCTCTTCAGAGAAAAATTATTCAGTTCAGAGAAAAATTTCATAAAACTAGCTGTCATTCAACAGTAAACGGTGTGAAATTGACTGTCTATGCAATCGAATGCAGTAGGAGAATGCAATGGAACTAGATAGATAACATGAGAGATTTCGATTTCTTTGGCCCAAATCGATTAAAAGCGTTTTGAATCAGTATCTTCATGTTTTAGTGCCGAATTCAGGCTTAAAAAATTACAAATTAGCGATCTGTAAGAAAACGATTTCCAGATTGTACGCACTTGTGAGAGTGATTTGCGATCTCACATTTTCTAATCGCTAATTCGTGGTTTTCACGGACGAAATTTCTCACTTTACAGGGATGGCGCACTCGACATTTTATCGAATTTAACGTCCTTTAAATAATAATTTGCTTACTTCAAAGTTTTCTTAATATACAGGGTATACAACATATTAAACCCGTGCAACAAAAGGTTAAGTTAGATTCCGACCCATATTTCGTTTAACAATATTGCATACAGCGCCATTTTTAACCTCCCTGGTGGTGAGGTTTCGAACTTCCTTTTTTTCGCGGAAAATAAATTCCCATGACCTCCTTTACACGATTACCAAGTTTGATAACATTTGATCCAGTAGTTTTCCTTTTTATGACCGTTTCAATGTGGAACTTTAATTATAACCACTCTGTATATTATTAAATTTTAATTTGAAGCTATGCGTTATATGTATACCATGCGTAAATTTTCGCTTTTATGGAAAATAAAAAATCGAAGCAAATATACTTAGTATAATGGACGAAAACTGAAAACATTTCCCCTCCCTCCGAAAATAAAATATTGAAATTTCGAACTTGAATTTACTGGGTTATTGAAATATTTAATTTGACTTATCTTCTAAGTCCTAGTTCCGACAACAATTCCGTCAAAAATTCCGAATTACTTAAGCTTAAGTTAAAGATTTAGTATATATTCACTGTATGTTAATAAAGTAATCAGAGTGTAATAAAAATAAATTATAGGATTTACGCTGATGTAACTTTTTGTCTGACTGCACAACATGTAATGGAAGAGAAGGCTTGTAGAGATCTTTTTTGACATGCCTCTAAAAGTAGATGTCATATTAATTTTGTCTCTTCAATGTCAAAAAACTTTCCTTTGAGAGGCAACTTTAGTTTTTGAGAAAGAAAAAAAATCACAAGAAGACAAATTTGAAAAACATGCAGGACGATTGAATATACATACTTATTTTCCGAACACAAGCGGTTCTCCGACTGGTTATTGAATAATGATTAGATGCATTGTCATGCAATACAAAACATTTGGAATACGTTTTCTGGTTGAATAACGTAAGATTAAAAGTCATCTGCTTAATTCACATCCATTTACAAGTCAACTACTCGGGCAATTGCAGAATCGTTTTGATCCTCAGCTTGTAAGACAAACCTAATATCACTGGATTTAAAGACTTCTTTAATCTTCCGAGAACGTTCCTTCTTTAGCTCATATTCCAAGAATATTAAGTGAATACAATTATTGCCAAAGAAATTGAATATTCATTTGCACTACGGCTTGGTAGTTTACTAACGAGTTAACAAAACTTAAATTCTGCTTTTTGTGTCTAAGAATACAACAATATTTTAAATATTTACAAAATAAAAATAAATTGGAGATTAATTGGAGCCTCATCAGTTGCCTAGCATTTGAAAAAGAAATATTGTTAATACTAATTGTTTTGCTGCTCAGTCTAACCCAGGCTGCATGGTTGGTTTTCGTAGTTTTTTTAGGTTCTCTTTACAAAGATTCTCTATGAAAGCATCTTAATCAAATAGCTCCCATGTTCTTTCTATGTTCAAATAACCAACTTACCTAGTTTAAGCGCGATTTCCAAGTGAAGTTACTAGTAAAATCCGATACTCATTAAAAATCCTGTAGCTAGCCAATCGGGAGTAACATGAAAGAAACGGAACCAATAATTGAAATGTTGTTACGATACGCTGTTTCTTAACTTAGATGGTAATTCCTTAATTAAATAGCCCACCAACGGCCAAGCGGTAAAGACGCTGAACACTGGTAGTTCGGTTCGAGTTTCGAACCCGCGAACGGGCTGGCCGCTGGGCGGTTTCGTGGTTTTCCCCATGTGTAACGTGTATACGAGCCAGTTTCCCTTAGAAAGTCCTCCACGAAGGCATCCCTCCCTTTAGGCAGATAGCCCTTGTGTGCTTTGCCATAATTAAATAATCCAATTCAATCCTTAATTAAATATAATTGATTTGTAAATTCTACTAGAACTGACGGTAAGAATTGAAGTGGAAATAAGTAATATGGTGTGCAATCTTGATTAATATAAAATTTAAAATATTTGCATAGAAAAATGTTTGCATTCAGACAGAAAGTTTTTTGAAATATTTGCAATTACTTTCTAAGAAGGATTTATTAATAACAGCAATAATTACTTATTATATTACTGATGATTAGGATTCAGTTCTTGACAATTACATTCTAAATTAGAATTTTAAGGATATAATGAAAATATGCTACGCACAAAAATACATTTTAGGAAAAAAATGAGTTGATTTTTTATGTTTTAAAACTTCTTAATTCATTTAGTAAACATCGAATCCTCGTTGTTTATTGAATCCAGAATGTTGGTGTCGTTTGTATAATTATTCTACTTGTCCACAGAATCTGCTGACTTATCCAGCCATTAAGTAGCTGCAGATCATTTCTACATAACCATTGAACTTCCATTAATTCAGTCCTCTAGAGGGTTGTATGTTATATCATAATTTGACTTTATAAAAAATGATTATTCTAAATATTATGTTTCTATAAAAATATATTGTGCTTTAAAAATATGGATAATAGTATCAGCCGCTCTTTCAGCCACTTCAAAGCAACAGTTTGTTTAGAAATAAATTATGCAGTTAATGTTATAAAATTCAAATAAATATCAAACGAAAATTCTCAGTTTTTAGACAATTCGATTTAAACGAAGTAAAGTAGCAGACGATAAAACGCCGAAGGTAAAAATTTACTCTTACAAAACTTATTCTTAATTTTTTTAAAAAAGAAAGATACGAGAGAAATTTAAAAAAAAAAATAGTTAAAAATTTGAATAATATCATCTATAATTTAAAAAAATAGCCTTTCATATAGTATTAATAAATATTATTACGCATCATTGAGGGAAAAAAAATGTCATATAATTATTCTCCATAAAATTTTACTTGAAGTTTAAGGTTAAAAATAGCTGTGGCAATTCAGTGTAACAAAAACCATAGACCACATTTGGCGTTATTATCGCTCAAAAAAAAAAAAAAAAAAAAGTGCCAAATTTCAAAACGCGAAATTATGTAAATTCGTGTATATCTTAGAAAATTTTGAGTAAAAAAGTCTAATTTTTTGCAGATATGCTTAAACTACAACACACCTACTTTAAGATGATGGTAAAAATTTTATAGGTTATAATTCAAAATTTTTTTCGAAAAATCTATAGAAATTATTTAAAAATAAAAATTTAAAAAATAAAAACGCAAAAAATGGGTAAATTTTATTTGGAATGAACCAAAATTTCGAAATGTGAGAGAAAAATCAAAAAAGTTTAATAAAAAGAGATATTAATAAATATTTGCCAAATTCAATTAACATTGAGAGCTAAAATGTTTGAGAGCTATATTTTAAAAACTAATCGTACGATTTTACAAAACTTGGTATTCTGGCAAAATTTGAGTCGTAGAATCGAAATATGTAAAAAAATTGGTATGTTATTTCAGAAAAAGTCCGATTTTGTGTCAAAATACCTATGTTAGAATAGTACTATATATAAATCTAATATATATCCTAAGTCGCGCTTTCGAGACATGAAAAACGTAGTTTGAATTTTGTCAATCGCCCCAGTAGAATGGGAGATATAGCACTGTCCCTTTTTTTTTTTTTTTTTTGAGCAGTGTACATACAAGCATTGTATAGTCTAATGACATTTTTGTAAAATTTTATGAATTTGACTAAATTAAAAAAAAAAAAAAAAAAAAAAAAAAAAAAAAAAAAAAACCACCTCCATATTTAAAAGCAGAGATAATTAATTAATTAATGATAATCACTAAAAATTATGGAATGATTTTACGCAAGTAAATATTTATTTAACATTAAAAGAATTTCAACACATCATAAATAGGCTCATAATATGTATTAAATTAGAAAATCTTTAAATGGCAATTAAAAAGGGAAGTAATGCATTTGATACTTAATATTTTAAATACCTCATCATGGTCAGAATTTTTCTTGTTTTCTTCCAAATTTTTATTCCTGCTATATAACTTTGAGCCATCAGCAACTGATGTGGAACAGAATGGAGAAGGTTCATTATCTAAATTTGATATCAACACATCACTTAAGCTATATGCACATACTTCTTCATGGTCATCAAGGGCTGATTCTAAGTCTCCCGTAGACAGTTTTGTCACTTTAGTTATCACAAGTCTAAAACAATATCATATTACTAAAACGTTTGAGATAATATAAGTAGGTAATGTAACTATTCAAAATGAAGATGTACAGTAGCATTTCCAACAAGCTGATATATCGATATATCTTTTATGAAAAGATATATTAAGACTAAGTTTAAAAAAAGCATCAAAACAGATGCTAAATTCATCTTTTTAATCGAAAGACAACTGATTTAAACAAAGAACATTTAAACTAATAACTATTACCACGTGATATTTTTTTTTTTTTTCAGTTATATACAATAAAGGGGAAAAACAAGGCATTGCAGAATGTTTGCTCAAAGAAACAATACATATATGATATAAAAGTTCCCTATTTTAATTATGTTTTCTACAGTATTTTTAATTCTTTAAATCAGTTCTAGCTTTAAAATTAGGCAATATTTATGAGTTTCTTACTTAAATTGTTAATTTTTTAAATGTTTCCTTATGTTTTTTATTTAATTCCAAATTTTTAATCTGATTTTTTCCCCCTCCTACTGAATAATTAAACCAAGCCATAAAAACATACACAAAGTCTAAAATTAAGTAAAAAAGCCCCCTGACTTTAATGCAGTTTTTAATAAAACTCGATCAATTTCATGGGTCACTGCATAAATGACCCTCTATTTTTATAAGCAAACAAATTGTTGCTAAAATGGGAGACATTTCATATCAAAAGCAATGGGTGAAGTAACGTGAAAATAAATGTAACACCATCTCTTGAGAAATAAGTAGTGAAATATTACAAAGTATGGCAATAGTATTCTGAAAATATTAGGAAGAAGTAGAATGGAACTAAAGTGTTACACACAAATTTTTGTGAACATGAAAATCTTCAAAGAAATTCAGTTCACCAAATGAAGAAGCTTCATAAATAATTTTTGCAATTTTAAATTTTACATTATTGTGTTTCTCTCATAATGATATTCAAGCTCTTAAATAACATGGAACATATACATGAAACTTTCTTCATCATATTTTTAAAAGTTTTCATCATATTTTCAAAAATCCATTGGGAACACTCAAAAAAAGTCCTAGTTGTGCCATAGCTGCACATAAAATATTATAATATGCCAGGTATGCTCATGAACCACATGCTGCTCACAGAGATCTTAACTGGCAATTTTTCCTATGAAATGCAATTTGTTTTCAACAAACAGGAGTTTAATTTTTGAATTAGAAATAGAAATTATGCAATGACATGTTTCTTTATTAATCACTCATTTCTTATATTATGTTTTCAAAAATTGAATCAATTTCATATAACTGTCCACCATCAGAATAACAAATAAAATTGCAAATAATTCCATTTGTGGCAATAGCTACTCCAATCATATTATGTATGGAACAGGTAATGGTCATCAGAATAGCACAAAATATACAAATAAGAAGTTGACCTAAAATATTAATGTTCTCTAATATTTTTTTAAAAGTTTATTTCAGGCAGTTTCTGCTTATATTCCTTCTGCGTGATCTTATTATTCACAACAGTTGTGATTCTCTTAGATGATTTGCTTTTCGTTATGGTGTACTACCTTTACTCAACCCCTGAATGGCTTGAGTAACTGCTAAACAAAACCTCTTTTGCCCTGCAGTCCACTCAGGGCTGTTTTCAATTTGGGGAAGAATTTTAATCTAAGGACTTTATTTTTGTTGTGCTTGTATTTGGTTAGGACACCTGTCTCAGTTTTCTGCATGTGTCCTTCAAAATTAGTTTTCCATCCCTAAGCAATCCAGATCATTTTTATAAAGTTCCTTCACAGTTTTTACAACCACTACAGTAATATACTGCAATGAACACTTTTCCCACATGAAACTCTATCTTTTGTAATAATTCTTTGATAATCCAAGGGTCATAATTTATTTCACCAGTGGTCATGCATACTGAAATATTCCAGGGTCGCGGAGAGAACCACTGAATTGACTACCATTTCAATTCAAGGTCAAAATTTTTAATTCATGTTTTATCAGTTGTTGTTATTCAAGATAGAAATCTTTCACCTTCATATCAACAACAGTGCATTAAGCAATAAGGGATCAACCGAACACAAACGTCTCTCTTTCTCCAAAGTTTCTGTCAAAGTATTTTATACTGATGTTGGTAAAATTGCTTTAACTTGTAAAATTTTCTCGTACATTACCTGAATGACATTCTTTCTTTCTAGCTTGACACAAGTATTGCACTGGATTAGAGCCATGACTAAACTTTCTGCTACCTAATATTTCTAAAAATTTTCACACCTTAGTACTGTTGCTCAGTACAGCTGCACCGGTTGCCCCAGCTCTGATGATAAAATTACACTTCTTTAATCTGTTAATATTTTTGGCTATCTAATTTTCAATTATCATGCATGTCTGACACATCTTTCATGAAATGGTGTAAGTTATGGTCCAACACTATAAATGCTACTAGGTCATGAGAAATTTCACGCAATAATGTAATGTTCTGCTGGAGTTTAGCCATGTAAACGTTTTTTCAGCCTAATTTTTGTTTTCTAAAATATCCTCACATTGTCTGCAGACTCCATTCCAAACTTTATTTCAGATTTATTTTCTGTAACAGGTTGTCAATAGCTTAGGTTGATGATAAAAGAAAAAAAAAAATTTTTTTTAAACTTTCTTCTGAGTTATTTTACACAGAAATTTAAGAGACTGAAAGTCATTTCACTGTCTTTATGGGTCCAATAGATAACAATTAGAATAAGGTGGATCCGTACATATCTTTGACAGGAACTAAACTATAGTGTGGATGTCTGCCATGTCACAAAAGGCTTCCAAGTATCAACCATCTGTGCATGCCCATTGAAATATGCAGAGTTATATGATCACATTACATACCTATTTGCCAAATATATTCATTGCAGTAGTCAATGGTATATTTTCTTTCCTATACTCTCAGTTTTGATTTCCCTTGTATTTAAAAAACAAATCAAAATTCAACAGCTATGGCTAAAAGTCTGACTGGTAGACAGTTGGAATATGTGCTCAACAAAGCACTGTATAAGCCGGCAAGAACTGCTGAATTTATTAGCAATAGGTTATCCATGTGCAGAATTATCAGGATGATTCGAGACAACAGTTTCAAGAAATTTGCTTGAAAACAGTTTCGAGAAAATGATTTCTTCTACAGCGGGCATCAGTAAAACTTGTCATTCTGAAGTTTTTAGTTAATATATTTAATGATTTCTTAGGTTATTGTAGAAAATTTCTTAGGTTAGGATTCAAAATTTTTTAGTGATGAAAAATGCTCTAAGATTCAATGTTTCGAATTTAAAATCTTTCTGAAAATTCCTGAGATGTGAGGATGCAAATGTATACACCTCAGATAAAACAAAATATAATTTATAATCTATTTCTCATCTAATGAATTAATTCAATTATTTTTTTAAAAGTCAGATTTGACCTATGTATGTTGTTCCTTATGTTAATTGTGCATAAAAACAAAATTAATTTTTATACAATAGCTTATTTTAAAATACTTTTTCTTTCTTGAATAACAGTTTCTCTACAATGAGCGTTGACCATGTATAATTTAATTTATTCTTTCTAAAACACTACTTATTAATTAAAAAAAACTAGATTAAAAAAAAAAAATTAAATAATAATTTAAAATTCACTCAAATAAGAATTTCTACATACTTATAGACCAATGCTATGCTTCAGATTTCAGTTTATATTTACTAAAATCAAACAACAGTAATTATAAATAATGGGGTATAATGAGAATCAGGAGGGAAAAAAAAAAAAAAAAAAAAAAAAAAGAGGAAAAAGGGGGGGAAAAAAAGTCACTCAGTTGCGCTGTAAAAGAGTTACAAATTTATATTTTCTTGGGACTTAACTTTTCTTAACACAAAGCAAAAGATACGAGATTTATTTATTCATATTTATACATAACCATTTTAATCACATATAAAATGCAAAATTTCCATTCATTTATTTAAAAAATTTCTTATATTCAAAATCTGTCTTATTATTTTTTAAATGATATGAATCTGAATTTGCCGCTTTCAAATTTTCATGAAATTTACCATGAGGCTCCTACCATTTTGAAGTTTGGCCAAACCCTGTAATATGCTATCATAACATGATTAATGAAATTTAAGCCCATCTGTCCTTTATATACATATTGAGAAAATCTTCATATATATAGAGAGGATTTTAGAGCAACTCGAAACTTTCAGGAAAACACCTAGATGATGGGAAAACACATTGCAGTGCATGGCCGGAAATGCTTTCCTGGCACAGTAGTGACGACACAAACCCCAAGAAAGGAAGGGGACAAACAGGGTGAGAATAATGTTTATTATGCTGAGTGCAGTGGAAACCAAGAAGTAAGAACAAAAATAAAAAATCATCAAATGTGTTCGAAATTATGACCTGAACCCATGATGCAGGAACCAAATGTCATGCTTCTTCCATGCATGATGCAGTTCTTCCACAAGAAGCCTACATCACAGTTCTGGGTCGTAATTTCAAACACCTTCTTTAGTGATAATACTTGTCTGTTTTTGTTCTTATTTGTCGGTTTCTGCTGTAATAGACATAATGAAACAAGCTCTGTCACACTGTTCATGCCCCTCCCTTTATGTGTTTTGTATCATCACTACTACACCAAGAAGGCATTTCCAACAATGCATTGCTATGTGATTTTCCAACATCTAGGTGCACTCTCTCTCTCTCCTGAAAGTTTGTAACTGATTTGCTGAAATTCCTTGTATATATATATATATATATTTAGATACATATTCAGAAAAATATTTCCTTTATACATATATGTATATATTCAGAATTCCATAAAGGTTTTAAAGATATTTGCAAGCATCAGATTTTAAAGCAATAATTATATGTATAAAATGAATGCGATATCCAACAGAAAATTTGATTTTAAAGGATACTTACTCCAAGCAAAATGTTAAAGTTAACTTAGTTGAATACATAAGTTTTAATAAAATTCATGCAAATACACAGAAATTTGCTATTTGGTCTTTTATG